ATGGAGGCCATCTCTCTCTCCGCTTTACTGCGGTAGGGGATGCCTCCTTGCCTTGCAGTTGCAGACAGCAGATCAACGTCGAACTCATCATCATCACTTTGACCTGCTCTAACTCCACGAGGACCTTTAGTTAGAGCTATGGGCTGTAGTAAGCTCCTGAATGATATCATATCATCTTTTATTTCATGATGACCATAGAAACTGATAACTCCGAAATAAATGCTTCTACCGGCTTTCAACGAGGTATACAACTAGGCAGATTAGTGCTCAGTCAGAGATATTTTTTACAATATGGTGTAAAATAACAAGTGGTGAAAAACTAGAGGAAAAACTAGAAGCAGAAATATATATCAGTTCAGATAAGAGTTGTGCCTTAACCCACCTTTCTTTCGTGACGAGGGCCGTCCATGTCCGTGAAGAAAGTCGTAGACTTCTTGGGCTCCAGGCAAGTTTCGTTGCTTTCGCTGTAACTCTAGTTCTCGTTTCAACTCCTTCTCTGCTCGCGCAGCCACCAAAGTGCGGATACTGTTTCTCGCCACGTTTGTACCTCTGTAGTTGAGAGGAAGATATTTTCCATCACGTCCTCTCGGAGGTTGCTGCCCTCTTTCTTGTTTCGCCTCGCTATAGTTTGTTCCTCCATCTCCTGCTGCTCTAAAAATATTACCATTTTTAGTGATCGCGGCTGTTGCAAGGAGGGAGAGATCTACTTGATCATGTATATTTTCAACTCCTTCGGAAACTGGCATTGATGGTGAGGTGGCGGTCCCGCCTTTACCTTGCCGTTCCATAATCGCACGCTGACGACGTGTAAGGCCTTTGCCACCTCCCGTCCTGGGATGCTGAGGAGGAGCTTTTCCTAGTAGTACTTTTCCGGCTAAGTATGTCATACTACCTTGTTTGATTGATGAAGTGGTACTTGGAGCACTTCTTGAGTGCAAATGCTTTTGCCGCTCTTCTACAACAGGCTCAACGTTAGATGTTGCTGCTATGCTTGGGGACGAGGCAGCGGAGAAATGAAAAGATCCATCGGCTAACATCAACTTCCGTTTTTTAGTCGGTGGAGGTCCTCCTACCATGTAGTCATCTGCGTCTGGTCGTGCGGCTTGTTCCTCATCCTTCTCCTTGCGCGTCGCTGTCTGTGCTAGAAGCAACGCTGAGCCTGAGGCCGACGAGTTCTTGTGGTCCTTATTTATTTTGCCTTGATGTTCCCCTTCCCCGACGCAGAAACTACTGAAGAAGTCGTCTGCAAGTGCTATGTCTTCCTCCAGCATCGCTCCACTGGTGGCTTCAGACTCTTCCGACTCAACTCCATCTCTACCACACTCTTCGACTTCTGAAGCCGAAGATGCTATCACTCCTGTTCTGGTGCGTCGACCTTTGCTCTTGTTCATCTTCTTCTTTGAAGATGTGGCTGCGTCAGCGGTTTGGTTTGAGACATGGAGGTCACTTAAAACCTTTTCTTTTTGAACAACAACAACGCCTCCAGCTGCACGACAAGTGGTGGCTTTATCAATGTCTTCTGACGCACGAGTCGCTGTGCCGAATCGATTGTTCTTCGCGCCGTCTAGTAGTGGGGCTGGTCTGCGACGTCTGAGATCCACACAGCGTATCAGATTGCGAGGAATATGCAGTCTTTCTCCTAAAACCTGCACAAAGCGCTCGTAAGTGACTCTATGGTATCGCTTCTTGCCAAACAACTCCTCTAAGGATAGACGTATGACGCTGGAACCAGATGCATCCCACATGTGCAGGAGAGGACTCCCAGGCTCCTGCTGATGATCTACTTTTAGAGGTATCTATAGATACTATAAGTACTTAAGTAGGAAATTCAATTACTAAGTTATCTACAGATACTAAGTAAATAGGGAACTCATCGCAAGGGTCATGTCATCTGAGTGCCTTTTTCCTTCTTATTTTCTTGGCCTAGATGACTTTGGAGATGCATTTCCTACACTCATAATACTTGTTGATAGCCTGTTAGGGCAGTCCGAAAATCGGGAACGACGAGTTGTTGCGTGCCACTCATTGCTGGAGTCTTCAAGCGCTTCCTTGGGCTTAAGCGGGCCTCTACTTCATCCTCCACCTCAGTTCTTGTTGGCGTTGGTCGTCGCTCATTTGCATCACGGCTTAATATCACCAGTTGTCCTGTTGCATCACGACCAGCGCCATGAAGTACACTTCTAGTAGGAATCGAAGATGAATCAGCTTCTGACGCTGTACCTGTTGTATGTCCGTTACCGCTACGGGGTCCATAATCGTCGGAATCTTCGACAAGAACCAAATCGGGTCGAAGCAACTTTAACGACTGACGCAGCTTGGCAATTGCTGTATCTCGAAGAACTCGATCTTCAACTTCTCTACTCGCGTGATTACTTGATAAAGGCAGAAAAACGTTGTCAAGAACCTCCTCTCCAGACGATTCATCTCGTCCATGTCCATCATCGATCTCGTCGTCTGTCTTTTGAGCAGCGACATTTCGGGACTCCGACGTGTCATTCTTCAGGTACTCGCGTTGCTTGCCGCGAACAATCCCTTCAATTTCAGCTTCGTAGAAGTCGCGATACACCCTAGAAAGCGTAGACGCTAACTCTGCTCCTCGACACCTCCTCTTTCTGTGTCTACTTCGAAATTTGTTCTTTGTCCTTTTGGATTGTTCTTTGGATGGAGGTAGTTGATGCTCTTCTTGTTCTTGGTGATCTTGATCTTCTACTTGGTTGTAGTTGTTGTAGTTTCCTGGACGTTTTCGTCCTTCGGTGTAGTCGACGTGTTTTGCATGCTCTTGTACAACTAGTACTTGATCATGTAGTTCTACTTGATTTTGATGCCTAGAACAAGTTGTAGAGAACTTCCCAGCAACTCTAGTAGTACTCGACGTTGTAGTTGTCTTGATGCCTGGTCCTCCCGCTAAGGCTAAATGTTGTAGTACGTTCTTTCTTCGATCTAGATGATACACCTTTGTTCCACCCTTAGAAGTTGTCCTGCGCCATTTAGGAAAGAATTTTCTCGCAACAAATAGAACGATTGCACGCCGTTCGCCTTTAGTCCCCAAACTATGAAGAATGTTGTTTTCCTTTTCTCCATCTAACAAGTAGTAGGCAGACCACGACCGAGGCTCCACCTCCCCTTGTTAAAATTACTTACTTATACACAAATTTATAAAGGAGAAAGGGGTAGCCACGGCCTAGATGGTCTGACTCTGATAGATCCACATGAAAAAACATTTTTATCCATACAAACGTCGCGTTAAGAGAATGCGCCTCGCTACGCCCATCTTCTCCGGTGCATACTCTGCGTAGACGCATTTAAGGGCCTCTCCCAATCGTTCAGGTGTCCACAAGTACGCAGGATGTCCTACGGACCGAAGTCCTCCTTGAAGATTTTTCTGTTGCGGATCTAAAACCATCCCACAACGGTCGCGCAGTGGAACGCAGAGTCGTTCACAATGTTGTGTGTAACATAGGTGTAACTTCCAAGAACAGGAGAGAGATGTCCTAGCCGCTCCGACAGAATATCCTTTCACACCGCCATTGCCGGCGCGAGAGGAGTCCTCCGCTGCTCTAGAAGATGAAGCCGAAGTAGGTCTTGCAACACCAGAATGAGGACCTGGATCACGTTATGACAGAAAAAAGTGCACTCATACTCAAAAAAGTAGCACGTGTCCTACTTAAGTCCTAGCCAGTGTCTGTCATGTGTGGGTCCCTGATGTTGGCACTGTCCTTACTAGTACCTCCCGTAGAGACCAGTTCTGATAGAGATCAAGGCCAGAGTCGTGAGTGCACATTTTCCTGTCATACATCTTCACGGTCATCGAAATTGAGAACAGCAGGAGTTTGTTCTGATTCCCGCAGCGTTCTGATTGAGACGCCGAATCTTCTCGCTAGACGATCCATTGCCCAGACAAAGCGTGGGCGACTCCACTCCCATGCTGGGTCGTAGATGTACCGCAAAGGCGTGGTCAGTATTCCTGTAGCTTCGGGACGTAGCAGTTGTGCTTCTCGAAAGAGGATCCTGTTGCGGACGGCAGGCAAAGCAGCATTCGGAAACTGACGCACGTGTTCTCTCGCAAGAAGCCGCGCAGCATTTCTTTGTCTCGTACCCGCTTGCGCTGGCGCTAGTGGTCGTGCTTGTCGTCCGGCTGATGCAGAACCAGGCGGCTGTTCCCGTTGTCCTTCTTGATGTCCTCTCCTGTTTCCGGCTCTCCTGTTTCCGGTAAAAATATTAGTCTGCTCTTCGGATGTTTGCTCCGCTCTTCTCTTCGCAGCAGCTGTCGACGCCACGCTGGTGGAAGATGTCCTCGAGTGCTGCTGTACTAGACCTCCGTATCCGTTCCTTCTTGCTCCACCACTGGTGCCCACTAAATGCGCCGTCAGCTCCAGTACACGAGCACTTCGACTACTGCTACCCGTATGAGCCAGCTCACGAGCACTTCGACTACTGCTCCCCGTTTCATCATCCACGACACACGCGTCAGCGTCACGGCAATGAGGTTCATTCCTTGTTGATGGCATCATTATCAAAGAGGAAGATGGCATTTTGAACATGTAAAACAAGAATGACCATGACCACGACCACAATAAATTTAGAATCTCCCTCTCCTGACAGGAGACATAATTATTCTAATCTATAATTATACTAGTACAGGAGCTAAGTAGTACGTAGTCACGCTCGTGGAGCCAATATCAGTCCCTTGATGATGAGTCAAAAGTGGTAAAAATAACCATCTCTGCTCGCCCTTAGTACCTGACGTTCCTTCCTCCACAGTAGGAAAAAATAAAGAGGATATTTGTCAAAAACTTCATATTGATATGTTGGGTGCTTATGCTGTAGTGGTACTAGCACTTATAAAATATCTCCTGTCATGGTCATCCTTATATCGATATCTTCATTTTTGTTCTCATCGGCCGTCTCAGCGCTGCTCGTTATAAACCGATGTTTGTGATTGGAGTTGTGGTGGATTTTCCCTCAAGCTCTACTCCAGCAGCTCGCTTCATGTTCATGTTCTTGTTGCTTATACAGGAGGACTGCCACCCATGCAAGCATTCTGTAAAGAGGAACCTGCGTAAGGCCTCGTAGACAGCATGTTAAGATGGATGATATGAGTACCATTATAGTGGATAATGTGTGCTGTCACAGTGGTGACTTCTTCATTTTGTAAAAAGATAAATTGTTCAAACAAGAAACTTCTAGGCTTCTTGATGAATGTACTAATTCCCTATCCCCTTTTTGTGCATGTGGATGTGCATGTGAAATAAGAATAAGGGATGACTTTTGCTGAAGAAGTGAAAAACGTATTTTGTCAGTTGTCGAGGGTGAGTTTGAGTAATGAAAAAGCTAAGAAGCTATAGCATACTCACTCCGTCAAAAATCTGTGATTATACCAGAAACATAGTTCAACACTCAGAAATCCTAAGTCGTGTTCTTTCACATCGATTCTTGATGATATTGCTCAGTGCCACAGCCAATTGTTTTTATATCGCTACGCGATAAATTATAGCTGCCCCTATCTATTAGAACTGAGTAAAGCTCCTCTATTTCACCAACAAAGAAACAATTGAAAAAGAAGTGAACCCAGTTTTATTTTGAGTAAGCACTGCTTTACTGCTTCTATATTATATGTGTTTTTTGGTAATAGCTTTTCGTTAGAGTTTTTACTCTGTTGTAAAAGTTGCCCACTGATAAATTGGATTTTACGTAAATGTTTGATGTCATGGTGCTTTTCAGAATAAGAAAAGAAACTACAGAAAACGCTAGATAAAAACGGCAACTATGAGCGTAGTACGAATTGAAAATTTTTAATTTTGTTTCACTTTTACGTCCCAGCTCTCTCTAGCGGCCGCGCAGCTAATGTTCGCCTCCTAAAATTTTCACGCCACGTCGTGCGATAACGTTGATCACATCGCGTGCCGTTACTGTTTGTCTGCCGGTGTGGTCCAACATGACGTTTACGTCAAAAACTATCTCCGACAGTAAGTCGTTAAACGTTTCCCTGAAAGAGTGTAGCGTCATAATTTCGCTTGTTTTTATGTGGGTGTGTTGTAGTTTTGCTTACCTATGCTCCATTTTTACAGCAAGTACGAGAAGACTTGGCAAGTAACTTACTACAAGCATCATCGTGTCCTTGATTTTACGGTATCTGCAGAAAATAAGCGGACATCTTGTACCTTTACGAGAACAAACCATCTGTTCTTCATTGTACTAGAGGTTCTAGTAAAAGTACTACACGAACTACTGGACTGCAACTACGAAGAATGCTGGACTATCAATTACAGGATTCCATAAAAATCAAGATTAAAAAAGCACCACCAGTTGTAGTTGTACATACAAGCAGAAGCACCTGAAAATACGACCAGGGAATTTAGTGTTTGTAGTTGTTTAGTAGTATGAAGGATACCTGAAAATAGGGTAGGTGTCGTATGAGACCCGGCGCACTCCCCCACGGCGGGCTAGACGTCTGAGAGCCGGTCGCTTGATACCGACAAGAAACGTGCTATCGCGCATATTAGAGCTCTCCCCAACTCATCCCTGTGGAAATGATCTTGATCCCTCAACGATATGCCCTACCAAACACTCGCATTGGGGTGCATATGATTGAGGGATAGCTATAATAGAGCTGGATTAGGGGATGCCTTAAGCATATTCATCGCCCTCACGAGCCGTGGACCGGCGTTTGGATCTCTTCCACGTCCACCGCCGCCTCCAGTGCGTGGAGCACCACTTCCTCCATTCGGATCATCTTCCTGAGCATTAGAGCTGCTCCTCACCCAAATCTTCCAGCTGTCATCAACATCGTCATAGCGCCAGTCTCAAGTAGTGAGTCCTCCTATACTAGTACCGGCAAGACGAAATGTCATGTCATGTCATGGTGCCTCTTGCTCTTGTGTAGCTATTAATGTTCTCTACTTTTGAGGCCAACTGTGATTAATTCTTCTTCCGGGATACTGATTTACATCATCTTGCAGGAAGCTGCTTAGTAGTACTTGTAGGGTACTTACCCTTTTAAAGCTTGCTTCATCTTCATCTGAAACTCTGATTTCCATTTTCACTTAGGGAGGATTATCATGGATCAGCAACACTCGACTCGTGAAGTAACAGTAGTGAAGCCTCAACATTAGGAAAAAAGCCGCTGTCGTCAAGCCCTCCACCTGCACCTCCGAAAGCGCCTCCAGCACCGCCAAGCCGTGAAGACGTAGTCCCTCTTGCTCCTGCTGCGCCTCTAACACGACTCCCGTGAGCACCATTTCCAGCAGCTCTTGGTGCACTAGTACTATCATTAAAGCTAGTGATGTGATAACACGTCTCCCTTGACTTATTGATTGCTTTGCCTATTCTTGAGGTATAGGGGCTACCAGTTGTGGAGGGAGGGGAGCACATCATTCGATTTGCCTTTATTTTCTTGAGGTATAGGGGCTACCAGTTGTGGAGGGAGGGGACGAGCACATCATCTTTTTCCCTGTTCGTTGATGAGAATCATAGACATCCTTCTTGGACGAGGCTTCTATTTCTCGTTTGAACATCATAAGATGAACGTAGTTTCAGTGAAAATAAACCTATATTAATATAGTATCTAGGAGAGGGACATGGATCTGGATGTTCGTTTGGTTCTTAATACTAGTCTGCTGCCCGGCGAGAATATTATCTGTTTCCCATTGCTCCCTTGCCGGCATTAGAGTTTGCTTGAATCGTCCATCTCAGTGCTCTTTCATTTCTTCCATTTCTTCGCTTGTAGCCTTGTTTCTGTTTTATATTCATCCCGTTCCCCTGTAGTATCAATCTATAGTAGCGCAGTTTATAGGGGTGCCAAATCCGGGATGGGATGGATGGGATGGATCGGATGGAACGGATGGACTTTCCACCATTTCAAGTAGGATCAGGGGGGTCCATCCGATCCATCCAAGTCCATCCTACATCCGTTCTATAAACTACTCTACTATAAGTATTCTTATTCATCTATCCAACTATGTTCATGTTGGCTGTTTCATCCCCGATCCCCTGTAGTATCTATAAGTATTCATCTATCTATGTTGACGCTGTCAAGAGAGAAGACGATGGACCGTATAATGTCAATCAAGGAAAAGGAAAACAAAGGGGTCATGGATCGACGAGATGCTTGCAGCTGAGAGAAAAAAATTATCATATTTAATGATGTTAGAGTTGTGGTTTTAGTATAATTTTCCTGCTTCAGCTAAATGTTGAGCATCTACATCTTAACAGCAGATTTTCACACGCAGTCTGCATTCGACTTTCTTTTTTTCGAAGAGCTTTTGCATCCACGTCTTCCTGCAAATTCACGCCTTCGTCAAGAGTTACGCCAGCAGGAATCGTTGGAAACGCTCCGTCATCCTATGATCATACGGAAAATCAAGTGAAATAAGATCATAAATCAAGACGTGGCAAGTTGATTCTGTGGTGTTCGTCTTTCATTCTTTTTGATGGTCCTCCATCCTTAATATTCTTTTTGGTCTTTTTAGATGTAGAAGATGTGGTCTTTTTAGATGCTACATCTGCTACATATGTTAATGTAGTTGTACTACCTGCTGCCCTAGTCCTCCTGGCTCTTCATCCTCGTCGTCGTCGTCGGGTAGAAGTCTTAGCGTGTGCTAGAATGCATCTCGGTCCCTTCATCTCGACCCCTTTTGCCTTGTATCTCATGTGAATATTACAGGGCAAGACGGCACGACCAGGACCAAGATGCCGAGAAACATGTTGGCAACGGATACATAGAGGCTGACCATAATAATCGTTCCTTTTTTTTTGAACGCATTTTTGACCCATGGATATTCTTGGGCACCACCTCGTCATCGCTCTCATCTTCATTATCACTCGCCATGTCCTCTTTATTTAACTTGATGGACGATTTAGACTTGTGTCGCTGGTTTACGACCATATTTTCCTCCGTGCTTGAGCCGCCCGGCGCGCCTCCACTACTAGTTGTACCTGCTTTTTCAAAAATGTTACTAGTTTCTTCTTGCCCAGGAGAAGCGTTAGCAAAAGCGTGTTCGGTTTCGTAAATCTGATCGTCCGATGAAAAATTAGCGCTCTCGCCGGGCGCAATTCATCTCTCCGCTGCATCCTTGAAGAGTATAGCACGAGAATACTCGAGCGCCATACTTCCCATCGGAAAATGCATTCCTGAAAGATGAACTAGCTATAGCCTTAAAAAATAGAAGATGATCACTGGTAGGTGCCCCAATGTCCTCACCTCCACGACCACCCTCCTGCGCTCCTTCCAGCGATTCACCGCCGAAGCTCTAGTAAAAAGGATTTTTAAGAATGGCTCTTGTTTAAGACTATTAGATGACATAGAACAAGAAGAAGACCTAGAAAGAACAATATTATAAGATATCTGGCTTAATATTCCTAGAAGATCGAGAAGAAGACTATTAGATGACCTCTGTAAATAAAAATATGAATCCGCATCCGGAAGAAGTAAGCACGTAGCATATTACTTTTACTTTTAGTTCGGTGTTGTACCTACAACTATGATATAAATATTTGTTGTGGTGGAGCCGACCTAACTAGAAAAAAGAAAGACCAGAGGAGGATACAAAAGAGAAAAGTATCCTTCATCCTACGATATAAATATTCCAAAAAATATCAACTCATCTTCAAAGAACTCAAAGTCATCAAGCCAGCACTTCATTTCTACTAAGAGTCCTATAGCTCCAACTCCTTCATGATCATGGTGACTTGTTACTGAAACCGCCTCGTCAGACTCCACTTCTAAATAAGGTTTCCACACCTTCATGAGCTATGTAAATGGAGTGCTTACATTCAATACGGCTCGTAAGGGTACAACTAGTAGACTAATCACACTTCTTGGTCTGAGTAACAACATGCTCAACTTGAGGTAACTACGCGATCTACTCTTCTAGGCAACCTAAAGCTACAACTACTAACACCACAAGTAGGGCCAACAATACAAGGTTGGAAGAGCAAGAGCCACAAGAGAGACACAACGTTGAGGAAAATGGGAGAGCTCAGATCAACGGATCAGATGAAGTAAGAAAGGTACAACTAGTCCTAATCTTCACACTTGTTCTGAGTAAAAAATATGAAGTACTTAAATCCATCATGATACCTTCAATCCCGCCATGATGGCTTGTTGGGCTAGTAGTTGTGCGGCACTGGGGGTATGCTTCCTAGCTCCGTGACGGCTTTGGCGACCCGTTCCGAGTTCGTTTGCTCCACAAAGCCGCTCTCGCTCCAACTCCGCCGCTGAAGGGGCAAGCTGTTGAAGATGAAAGCACTGATGATTATATATAAGAAGAGTGGAGGTAAAGGTCGTGGAAAAAACCTAAAATAATCATGATTGACTTGTAACGACAGCGTTAAAGCTAAAGATGAGTTAGTTCCTACTCCGCGAGCACCGCTTGTTCTTAGAAGATATTTAAGATAGTTGTTGTGACATAATCAAATTACAGAAGTGCTCATCTTCGTTTTAGGGGAGTTGTTTTAAACCGGTACTACTACTAGCAGTACTAGAAAAGTAGATCGTGATGACGATGAGTATTATAGAGTTAGAAACGAAGGGTACTATAACTAAAACTATCGACATTTTTAGTAGAAGCGAACCAACTATACCTTTACCTATACCTATAGATGTTGTAGTACCATTTTCATTTTTTTTGCTGCGGGGCGGGGGCTGGCCTCTATCTCGACCTCTTCCTCTTCAGGAGGGTGCGCGTGGAATCCCTCATCAATCGCCTCGCCTTCTCCGTCCTCGTCGTGGTCGTCATCAACACCATGATGCTCATGTTAGAAGAGGAGTCGTTTTTGCTTGGAAACGAAATACATAGAGGCTATACAAGACGAAAACGAAAAAAAGGAAGCAGTCGTGGAGACAGATGACTCATCTCAGATAAAAGCAACGCGCTGTGGTGAATGGTTCCGGTATTTGGTAACCTGATTTTGATCATAAGGGAAAACAGGAAGAGAAGCCTTGTGATCAAATTCACGTTACCAAATACCGGACCATTCATGTGGAGGGGGACGAGGAGATGAATTGCGACGAGTATAACATCGACGAGCCTAGAACGAGGGACGAGAAGCGCCCACCCGTGGCGTTCTCTACTTTGCTGGACGAGAAGACAAATTACCATTTCTATGTCCTCCCATAAAAATCATCCTGGTGCTCGTCCATATGATTGGAAGCTCCTCCTGTAGCTGCTTCTTCTAGATGATCGCTCTCCACCTGCTGGTAACCGTGATTTTCTTGTTTTGCAGAGGAAGAAGGAGACGTAGAAGAAACTGCATTTTTATTAAAAGTATCTTTATCTTCTTGTTCTCTACTATAATTATTAGAAGTGGAGGCTTTAGACTTCTTAGTGAATTCATCTTGAAGATGATCACGAGGAAGATCAACATGAAGAAGATGTTGAACTTGCGGAGGCGAATCTACATCGCCTGTTGGTTCTAGTAGTGGCCGGGGTCGTACCGCCTGTCTGAATTTTTGTAGGCCGCGACTAGAAGAGGGAGAAGAGGACCGAGCTCGTCCTTTCGAGCTCCTGTTGCTATTAGAGCTACCGCGTTAATAGCATCTTCCTTGAGAGGTACTACATCCTTGGCCCCTACTTTTTCAACTCTATGTACGTTGAAAAAGTGCTCCAAGGTAGTCCTTGGTCTATCTGATATTTTTGACCTTGAAGAGAAGCTGGAGGACTATGATGTTATAAGGACGGACAACATGCTTGAGCGGTTGTAGCCTTAACGACCCTCCCCACGTCCTTTCCATTGTTAGAAGAAGTTTCATCTTCATCAAGTTCTTGACCTATGTATAATGATCATGATCAGGTAGTACTACTAGGGCTAGTAGAAGTAGTAAACCAAGTCTGAGGGCGCAATCCGAAGGAAGGGAAGGGAAAGAGATCTTCATCTATGTCGTATATTATCTGCCTCCTTATAAGACTTCTATAGACCTATGACCTTCCATCTCGTATGCCTTTCTACTACGCGGCCTTCTCTTCTTGGGAAGAATAGAAGCCTTAGGTGGTCTTCTTGTGAATAGGGACGACTAAGAATATCCGAACATCATACGCGGGAGCCTTAACCTAGGCGCCGTACTAGGTCTTCAACTTCATTTGAAGAGCATATGAAGTTGAAGATAATGATAAGCATGAATAATCTTCATAGAACAACTACGAAGATAATGATAAGCATGAGTGCGTCACATTGAAACCCATAACATTGTGGTCAAGACTTTTATAGGCAGCATCAGATTGCGTGTCATACTCGCGGGAGCGACTGCGGTGTCTGGAAGTGCTGGCAGTTGACCGACTGTTCGCAGAGCGAGGACTTTCCTGTTGTTCTTCTTCTACCACACCGTCGTCCTCTTCATCGTCAAACAAACTGCCCGTCTCATTCAATTGAAGTTTCTCCCCGTAATTCCTGAAAGTTTGCCCACGGTGGCGCTTCATTCTTGATCACTATTATATGTAGTTGCCTGGTGGTGGTGCTGGGGTATTCATATATACTATGTTGCGGTTGCCTCGTGGGGTAAAATTAAACCTAGGATATCGATATGCATGTGAGTGAAAATTTGACCGGTAGAGCATGGTAAATAAAGATGTTGGAGTTCTACTTTTTCTTTTTCAGAAATCAGTCTCGAATCCACCTCGACTATAAAATAACGTTCAACAAAAAAATCGCAATCCATTGAGCTACAAGTACAAGAACTACTGTTCCCTGATAGGAGAAGTTTTTTATTAAGTCTGTCGTGGTCTTTTGAGCTTCTTATATTTTCTAGAAATAGATCGAAGCCACCATTTCTAGGAATCAATTCTCTTTTTTTCTAGAAATGGAGCGAAGCCACCATTAATAGGAATCAATTCTGTTACCCAGCACGACCTAGCTTAGGTTAGGTGGGGGCCCGCCAGAAAAACTAGGAAGCTTCGTTGGCTTCACGACCTCCATGTATGCTGTGCGTGCTCTTGTTCAAATACATTCGGACGACACAGAAGTAGATAAGGAAACAAAATAAACGGCCGTTCGTACTACATCAAGAACAAGAAAGTCCTTTTTCCCGTCCTTTTTCCGGCAATCATGTCTCATGATCGCGATGTATGTGGAAGGAGCAGGAGGTTATTCTAGTCAGTGCGAGACGGCATCCACTCTCTTCATCGTGAGAACTCTTCGTGTTTGCACGATAGTTTCTTGTCAACAAAAATTCCTCTACTCACTCACTTCGAAGATGATTAGTATATTGAGTCAATTCTACCACGTATCTTTTGCCGCCATTATGATGACTGTGAGGGATGGAGATTAACAATATGGAGGATAGTAAGTTGGCAAAACTGGCGAGTCACGCATCCCATTGAAGGAAAACAAGTTGCCTTCCTACGAAAACAGGAGGGTAGCGTGAGTGAGTGGCTGAATGATAAGTACCTCCTATGTGCGTGTGGTGCTTTGTACTCTTCTGGTCTTACTTGAAAGAAAGCCCCCATGCTGGGAGTTCTTATCCTTTATCACGCGCTTCTGCTTCTGTACAAGATGAATTATGATTTTCCTTTTATACTTCTCGTTGCTTCAACACCTACGAGGAGACGAGCGCTCGCTCACCTACCATCATCAAAAAACTATACACAAAAACAATATGATATACCTTGCTTTTATTGATAACATCTAAATGATCTTTTCCACCTGCTTCATGAAATTGCATACAACTAGTAGATTGCAATTGTTCTTGTTCAACAACATTTATTGACTATAAATATAATGATAGACATGTAAGTGATTTCAATTTTCGTCATGACATGATCAAAAAGACTAGCCTAGTGGGTTATTAACAAGGTACTTACTTACTATACAAAAAATCCTGGTAAAAATGGAGAGGGAGACCATAACCTCATTACTTCTAAGTAATTGAAGCGAAAAAATATTGAGCATTTTTATCAACGAGGAAGAACAGTGATCCTAGTATGGCTCACAATAAGTAGTATGGTCCTAGTAATGTTCTATTCATCATTTCACAACACCAGTATTCCTATGGCTCACGGTCTCAATCAATATCAAAAATGGTCCTACTTTTATCTTATTCATCATGTTTTCACAATGCTCCTACTTTATCCATCATCTTGTACAGGTGTGCTGGCGCCGTGAAGCTGGCTCGCCTTCCTTGGCCATTGGCTCCCAAAGGCGCGCCCAATGTCACGTTAAATTAGAGACTTCTCATTTTTTGGCGAGGAAACGACGTGCATGCTGGACTCGTCCCTGTAGTTTCCACGACATGAAGAACATGAAGATGGGGGAGAGAGTGATTAAGCTTTTTCATAAAAACTGTCTCTGGTCGTGCCTGTGCTACCTGGTAGTGCAGCGTCAGCTCCAACCGCATCAGCAATTATGCATTGAGAAGATCCTCCATTGTTGTTGTTCCCCCTCCGTTGTTGTTCCCGATCATTATAGGCGCTAGTAGTAGAGGTCTCGTCTAGGTCCACTTCTGGCACAGCTATTTTTGTATTGCAATTTTTGTTCTGCGCAATGTTCTTCATCAACGTGTTGTTGATATTCATTCCTTGCTCTTGCTGCTGCTTTCTTTAGAGCTCGGCCGAAATCTCTCATCACAATGGGGAAGATGGGATATCATTAGGGGAAACGAAAACGAGAATAACGAGGACCTTGTGTTGACCTCTCCTGTATAATATTAAGTCATCTACTAGAAGGTTCTACAACTAGGATTCTGTAACTCTACTAGTAGTAACATCACGATCATAATCCACCACACGACTCTGTTGCCCACGAGGAGCACTTCTCTCGTCTCCTAGTACTACCTTCTTGTACTCATATTGGAGTTGTGCTGTCCCCCTCTCCACCATGCAATCGACCGGTTCAGCCAGGCAGCGCATCCCGTCCTCAAACGTTGCTTGCCACCGACGACGTCGCAAGATTAGAAACGAGAAACTCTAAGAGGGATGTGGATTTTTTACTATAAGTACTCCAAGGAAGTCCATGATCTAGATCCTTCTACTTGTCGGTGAAAGAGTGGTGGTCGAAGGAGAAAGTAGGAGAAGACGCTCACTCGACGCTCGTACACTCAGGTGCCAGTCAAGAAGAGAGAAAGGACGAGCATAATTCGTTATTGATGTAGGCGTCCTACTCGATGTCAATGTTAACATTACCGAGGCAGTCAGTTGTGACTCATCGTGGCCTAACTCTAACACATTAACAAAAGTAGAACAAGTAAAAAATGTAATATGAACGATTTCAATTTCCAGTACCCTGCAACAACTACATAAAGAAGTTGTCAGTAGTATAATACAGGTTACTTACTTATATATAATACGGCTTCTACCAGCTGGTGTTGACCTCCATTGCCTTATCAGAAACAAATTCAAATCATCTAGGTAGACTACAAGTACAACATCTACTACATCTTTCATCAACAGCTTCATTACTTAGAGTAAAGACGATGATGAAAGGACTGGATTGGAGTCGCAATGTAGAAGTAGGGGTAGTAGTTAGCCCATTCTTGGGGTACAGGCCAAAGTGCAAACTGAGTGGGGAGGATGTTATCAAAACAAAAATGGTGGTTATCAACTCAAGAGCAAGAAATTATCAAAACAATGGAAAACAATGCAGTATATAGTAGAGTGAAGAATTAGTATTAGACGGTGATTAAATAAAGACAGAGTAGGAGTACTAGCTCTCCACTAGGAAAATAAATGATCAGAACGAGCACAGCAGGAAGAGTTTTCAGGGCAATGCATTACATTCATATACAAGTGCAACCTACTTCTAGTTCTATTAATATGAGCAAGCTTGTTGTAGCTTCTGCTTCGCGTCTTTTCTCATACAGTAAAAGGGTTCTTGGCCATCTGGTTGTAGTCGCCGTCGTCGCGGCTAAGTAATGCGCCATGATAGGATTAGAGCTTCATGTTGGGCAGAATGGTGGGGAATCGGTCAACATCGTGAAACGGCTCGGGGATCTCAGTGGCAAGCATCTCCTACTTCTTGGGGAGCATCTTGGTGATGCTTCCCCCCGTGCCTTACGATCGCGGTTGTGCCCTACAACTTCGTCTTCGAGGTGTGTAGTGTCTAAATGTATCTAACTATTCTTTGTAATATTCAGGAAGCAGACTATCTTTCAGAGAGTCTTTCCCGGATGATGATGATCTCAGAGATGAGTTCACTTACTTGCTTTCCCCCTTAGTTACACATGCTCTACTTCTTCATTAGGAGATTAGTCAAAGCAAACGGGAAGTTGGAATGATTCCCACTTATCATGGCACCACCCCGACCCTTCTAGGATGCTTCTCTAGTAGAGACAGTTGTCTTCTAGACTCTCTACAACAAATAGCGAGAATGAATTACATAGAGGAAGTTTCTACTTCAGGTTCAGAGACTATACTTCAGCTTCTCTATCTTCCAGTTCTAAGACTCAGATGAATTACACTTATAAAGGAAGGAAACCTTGATAGGATGAATAACTCAAGTTCTCAAAGGAAAGAACCTTAATAGCACTCTGGGTCCAGAAGGCGTGCGTCTTTCCACAAAGGTGCCTTTAGGAAGGCGAAATCCAAGGTCGGACATTCGCGATCGAGGAAGTAATCGTGTGGCCGCCGATTGTTGCCAGCTGCATAAATGTGCAGATACCACTATGAAGGTGGAAACGGGCTATTTTTTCCCTATGAAGGAAAAATAAATGTATGCGCAGATACCACTACGAATGGAAAATGCTACTACGTCGTGTCCACCTTGTAGTAAAGGCTTAGTACCACGTCGTGTCCACCTAGTAATACTAAAGTGGTAGGAGCACTAGCAGTAGCAGTAGCAGTAGTGGTTAAAAATATCATGGCTTAACAACTACTACTTCGAGGGGTACACCTACCAAGGCCAAGTGCGACGTTATATATTAAGTTCTTTGGAACAACGAGAACATTCAACATGATCCACCTTTCGATTGTAGTTGTACTCAATCTTCAATAATTACAAGCATCCTCATAGACGTTGGTAACCGGCAGAGGCAACGTTGCTTTTAAGGTTTTCTTGACGTCGACCACCAGGAGCACTCTGATTCGCAGGGGGGTTTAAGGAGCTACTTGTGGTTGATGTTCTTGCTCCTCCGCTATTGACCTCCACGTTCCTATTTCTATTTGCCATCGCTGCACTCGAACTCGAGGACGCAGACTGATCGTCACTTGTATGTCCGCCGACCTTTTTCTGAAATTTCGTTGCTGAGGACATCAAGGCTAGCGCATTCGTCCTGCTTCATTTAGACTGGGTACTAGTAAAAGGAAGCGGAACCCAGTAAGGTGGATGAGCCTTCTAGATGATCAACTACAAGTCAAGCGTTTCGTGCCTATCCCTCCACGGTCAAGTTTATAATAGATACAAAGCTGCTTACACAGAGCAACGGAGATGACCGCCTCATCATGGTACGAATTTCAATCAATTCGGATGAGCCTTCTAGAATAGAGGTGCCTTCATCTAGAATAGATGATCAACAGTGCCTGGCAGTCAATGTCAATCACGAGTTCTTCCAATTCCACTGTCTAGACGTATAAATTTAAATACTCGTAACTATTACACAGCTGATCGACTAGAGAGATCCCACACATAATTCTTCGTTGACGAATATCCTGCGCCCTGGGCAAGTGCGCGACTTCCAAGTGCGCTGTTGGCGAAGAGCTCAGCACGAAAGGTCCATCGGGAACCGTTTTTCTTTGTGCTGCAGCAGGGGTAGGAGCACCAGGTATAATAATTTTTAGACAAGGTAGAGGACTTGTTGGGCTGAAGACATTGATAAAGATAATTATGTACAACTGGTCTACTACAAGTACTTCTTGAGTCCTAGTCCTAGTCGTATTAACCTTCTTCTCATTATCTAAATAACTCGTCTAGAATTTTTCAACGAAAGCATCTCCAGGCATTCTTAAAGGTGCCACACTATCGCTGTTGTCATGTTCCGCTTCGCTTTCGTCCCGTCTTCGAGTCGCATGGTCAGACTGCGGCCGCTGCCCCTGCAGCTGCTCTTGAAGGTGTCGCCCCCCATACACGCCGCCTTTCGTGGTGGATGTGGTTGCTTAATTATAGCATGCTCAACTTGAGGTAACGATGGAACATCTTCTCAAATACAGCTATGTGCCTACAACATCACAAGTAAGAGAAATTAGGTTCTTTGATAAGTAGAATAAGTAATATTGAATGAATGAATCTGAATGTTGGAACGGTCATGTGATACTGATGTGATCGATTCCAATGACGATTTTCCACCTCCACATCCACAGGGGGCTTCCAGCAGAGGAGGTTGAACAAGAGGTATAAGCATGTAGACCTTAGATGAATTATTTCTAGAAATTTAAATAGTGAGATCGAGATTACAAAGAGTTGTAAGCAGTTAAACAAGAGGTATCTATAATTTTTACCGACTTCCACTTTTTGTCTGAGCTTGTACTTGGTTCCTGCTGCGATAAAGCCGGTGACGAAACCTGTGTGAGCGTAGGCAGCATCGGGTTGATACCTATCCAGATCCTCCCGTTGTCGAAGCCAACTGTAGTTTTTTGTTCCTCGAGACAAAATCCATTCCATCCGGTTCTTGGCCAAGGGTCGCAGTTCCGACTCTTGAGGAGCATTAGTTGTCGGGGCTAGGTAGTTTGTAGTTCTTGTTCCTCCTGCTGTTCTTATTAAAGTAAGCTAGTACAGTTAGTTTATTTTGTTCCTATTCCTATTACTCGCGCTAATAAAAAGAAGAACAAAATAAACTTACTGTACAGCTTTAATAAGAACAGCAGGAGTCGTGTTTCAATTTGCCTCCTTCAGTAAAGAGTTCCCCTTTTCCTCGCAAAATTCTCAAAAAATTCTTCGCATAAAAATTCCTCCTGGTCCGTCCTCTGTAAAAAGATCAAGGGAAACTCCAGCACTCAGCATGATACATATCAGTTCACATGGGATAGTGATAAACTAGCCTTAAAAATGTTCTTGCAGCTGGATGATACCTCCTCCTTGGACTACTTCTAGTACAGCTAGTCCCATCTGTATTAGATGGATCCGTATTAGAAGAAGTAGATCTCGTAGGAGCGCAGGTATTTGAAGTCGACGATTCACCTCCTGAGATGTTCATCCTGGTTTGTTGATCATTCTTCATATTGTGATTTTTGGGCTCTCTTCCAGTTGCACCATCTTGTGCTGCATGGTCAAAGGCCTCCTCTACCAGGCGGAAGAAAGCGTTAGATGGCCTCATTTTGCGCAGGAGCCGACCAAAGTATTTCACGCCCACGTAACTCTTGCGAACTTGCTTCTTTTTCCGACCCCATTAGATCATAAGTAGAGGAGGTTCAGAAGTAGAGGTTCAGAAAAACATGTCCATCTCAGATGAACAGTTATCATGATCCAACCAGAAAACTACTGCGAAAAAGTTGTACGAGCATGCTCGACTTGAGGCAACGCCAGTTAGTCAACAACGCACCTTAAGTTGTAAGACCACGACTTTTTAGAAAAACACTTACCCATGAAAATAATACCCTGTGAACTACAAGAACGTAAATGATTAGTTGTTGTAGTTGTAGCTACCTAGTAGGTTGATGAGCAGCCTTAACCTAGATTATGCTCCAAAACGTACATGGTAGCTCGGCCAGGACCATTCGAAGTCGTTTTACGCGAAGATATTGGATGTCTTTGACCATGAGCACTATGGCTATGATCAACAGGCGTCGTTCCTCTTCCAACAACAGCATTTTTGATTAGAGGTAGGTTGCTGGTGCTCGCTTACCCCGCTTGTTATGCCTTTCTCCCTTAGGAGAGGCATAAAAAGCGGTAAGAAAAGCACCTTTAACCTACCCGTAATTTGAGGCAGCGAAAATGATCGGAACTGGAAGGTTTCAGCGTGAGCTGATTCTGACATTCCACGCTGGGTTTGGCTTGAGCCAACAGTAAAAGATGGTTTTTCGTGTGCAGAAAGTTGCTAATTTGTTGCGCCAAGGCGTCGTAAAGGCCACCACTCTCATACGCCAATGCCTTGCTCATCGTAACCCAGTTCATTCGATGAATCCTAGTAGTAGTAGACTTAGAAGTGGTCGTGTAGGAAACGAATAATCCATCCAGATCCATCCCAGGAATTCAACAATCATCTGGGTCCTCGTGGTCGCTCTTTCTTCTTTGCTTTCACTTTCTGTTTCTTCTCTGTCCAGATGATGACTTAGTGTCCGAGATGGATTTCCCTTTCCCACACGACCCTTAATAGAACTAGACGTAGTTGTACTTCTATTTGGAAGATTTACACGACTACGAGAAGAGGTGGTGGATCTTCCCACTACTGCATTTATAGCAGCGCCTCCACTTCGTGTGTACCTTCGCGGCCGCCGTCTAGCACTAGACATCTGCTGCAGACTACAGGCTCGTGGACCAGCTATGCGACGGTAGTGGCACTGCATGTGAAACAGCAGTTTGATCTGCTGGTCAAGGTTGAGAAAGCGCTGTCCGGACTCGCGTGCCAGGCTTTTGTTAGCAAGCAGTAGCAGGTACGTTGTATTTCTTTCTCACTGCTATGTTGTTGATAGACACTATCTAATTGCTTGAAGGGAAGATAAGCCTAGGGATAGAGGTGAAAACTAAGCCTGTAGTTGATAGATACTAACTAGTAGAATATTTCCATTTCGCTTTTCTTGAAGTTGTGCATTGCATGGAGATGGAGCCATCGACATGGATTAGATTCATCTAAGATTCAAGAACTACGCTACACAAAAAGAAAAAGAATGGTGAAAAATATTAACAAGCCTTAATTTTGGCACGTTTTACAGTCCTGTTCATGAAGTGCTCCTTAGTTTTCTTCCCTACTAATGAAGGAGGGCGCCACTTCTGATTGACGAGAGCATTTGAGTTTCAGTTTGTCTCGTCACGAGGGGGTGTGAATGTCCTCGTCCCCTGATGAAGTGTTCGAGCACATCTCGTCACGAGGGAATGTCGTCCACCAGGTATAATAATTGGTTTTTTCCTTGATGTAAACAAGGTAAGCCACGACATTCCCTGTTTATCTTCCTACTGGGATTCTCAATAACCTAGGCTCTAGTAACACTGAAACAGCACCAAAAACATGTAACACGTGTTCAACTAGAAAAACAAGAATAAGAGGAGAGCTAAAAACAAAGCATCTAAAAGCTTGATCCGATCAACAGTATGACAAAAATTTGAAGTATATCAAGAATCAGAAGTGGCAGGAACAGCCCCATAAGAACTCTTTCATCGGCAACGCCTCATAACCGCCACCTTCTCCTTCGATTACATGATATTTGAATTCATCAAAGCTCATAGTTCGCACGTCTACGTGCTGAACCTGATTGTGCTGGGGGTCTTCTTGTTGCTGGTCTAGGTCTTGTTGTGCAAGAAGTTGTTCTTGTTTTCTTTTAGTATTATTTCCATTGCTTCTAGCAGCTTGATGTGCTTGATGTCGAGGCGGATAAGGTGATGAAGCATGATAACTGCGCTTGTTTACAGAATTGCTCGCGTTAGTGGAGCCAGAGCTTTTATCCACTGGTCCTCGCTGTTGCTGTGGTTGTCTAGGAGCTTTCTGTTTATTACCAGTGTGGTCTCCTTGTTGAGTTCCGTTAATACCGTTAACCACGATCGCGCCAGGCTTTGCGAGCGAAACACTACCTGACGCTGTTTCTTTATCTTTTTCTTATATTCTACTGACTACAAGTACCATTCTAATAGACCCAAAACAAAATACAATGAAGATCTCCATGAAGATGAGCTTGAAGAACGTACTCAAATAAACGTCGTTGGTGCTGGATTCTACGACCTCTCAACCACCTGCAAAAAAGTAGAGTATCCTAGAAAATAGTAGACTTTATTATTTTCCCAATGTTCCAGTAGAGTCCTACCGCCCATAGTCCCGCTTAGTCCTGGAGAACTCGGGTCTGTACTGACTCGCGAAGTAGAAGATGGTGGACGGGCGTCGGTGAGAGCATCCGCGACCGTTCATCTGTTAGAACCAAATACAAGTCGAAGTCGTGCTCTCCTCAAAAATTTATCCATTGTATTTGGGTTGTTCTTGGAAGAAGATACAACGGCTCTTGATCGTGATGAAGGATCTTCCCTATGTACCAGTATACAACAGCTGCAAAATAGAGACCTATTTTACGCTTGCGGTCAGCCTCAACTCTAGAAAACTGCGTCGGAAAAGAATGCGAGTCACTCGTCGATGGCCTGCTTGCCGACGTTGGTCGGTCGTATGGAACTTTTTCTAGTGCTCCTGGGTTCGAATTGGTCGTACTGTACAGCTGTCCCACCACCACAGTTCCAATAGCTCGCGCGTAAGCAAAGTTCAGGAAGTCAAAGCGCGAAAGCTGCGCCGACGTCGTTGCTGGAAGATGAGGAGCTTTCTTTCCAGTGGTCGTGCGGCTAGGGGCCTTAGACTCAGTTGTTATAGCCAATTGACAAGATGAACATCTTTGTTGGAAGGAAGCATCCACGACCACCTTGGCTTGTAGATTTAAGTAGAAAAAGAACGATCAAGGATTATGCTATAGGAAAATGCTCTGTACTTACTTACAGTTAATGCGCTAGACGTAGCCATAACAGAAGTCGACGTGGTCATATTATTTCCTGCTGAAGTACAAGTATTCTGCTTCTTGGTGTTCGGATCACGAATGGCTATCGTTTTACCTCTTCGTCTCAGAATGTTGTATATCTTCCACAGCTCTCGTTCATCAGGTAAAATCGTGGTTTTAGTTGTGGCTCCGCCTATAGCCAGAGCAGAGCTCTGCTGGTAGCTGCCGCATGAACAAGACTGCTCTGGTCGTCCACTTCCTAGCTGCGGGGCTTTGTTTTGCACTATCGTGGCCGACGGCGAAGAAGGTACTAGTACAGCATTTTTGGCACCATGCTGTGCTGAGCCGTCTATTGTTCTTGCGTAAGTGGACGAGCTAGAACTTCTAGTGGAAAAGCAGGACTTCATCTGATAATTGTGTTGTATGTTTTCCCTTCGGAACAAGAGGTCCTCGTCCTTGTCCCCCATAGCCACAATGGTAGATTGCCGTTCCTCTTGTGGCGTTAAAACCGAAACTCTTCGACGCGGCAGCGCATGCGTTGAGTCATGTCCTGCTTGTGTTGAGGGAGTATTCTTCTTGCCCATGACAACATTATCTTGTTCCGGTGCACAGGCACTGCCAAGAACAGCACGATGTTTGGTCTCCTCTTGCAACAGTGTTGTAGTTGCGGACGTGGGCGCCATCGTCTTACAGCATGCCTTAATTCATCTTGGAGAGCATCTCTGGCGTGCCTTTCCCTTGGCAAAAGGCTCTAAGATGCTTCTCAGGATGAATTAAGGGAAGCCTTAATCGTCACACAACCGCCGGTAGTACTATGATGTTCAGGCTCTCCACCATGACCGTTATAGCTGTCGACTAATCCTCCTGGTGTGCTCGACGAAAAGGATACTCACTTAGAAGGTCCTAAGCAAGAGAGAGTCCTATCTTTGATGTCTTGTATGTTCTCTTTTCACCTTCAAAAGGTCAAGGGGGTCACGAAGCCTTCAAAAGGTCAAGTGGCATCTTGAATAAAAAGGCATCTCTGACAGAGGTCTTTCCTCGTAGATGATTTTTCATCGCAAGAGGATCAATTATAATATATCTCCTTAATTGATTTCGTGCGCGAGTTAGGCAGTGCTCGTTCCTGGATCTCCACGCTGTGCCGTTTGTTCTTCTTTCCATTCTTAGACCTCTCCCACCCCAACCCATCCCGTGAATGCGTCCCGTTAAAATACTCGCCCCAGAAGTACTTGCCTCAGGACAGCCCGAGACTCTTCCAGTCAGTGCTCTTCCAGTCAGTGCTAGCCGCGCTGCACTTTAACGGGATCGATTCACGTGGAGATGGCTTCTTTTGAGCCTTAACATTCGGAGGCAGAGGGGTGAGCTGCACCACAGCATCGTCGACCTCCAGGACTGCCTCACGAACCGCTTCACGCGCAGCCGTCGACGTGGAGGAAAGCTATGAACAAGGAGGTTAGGAAGTGGAGGAGAAGAGAGGAACGAGATTATATTTACACCAAGTAGAACAAAGATAATCGCGATACCATAGTCGATCGCAACGACGACCATAGCATAACAAGTAGAACAAAGGTTAATTGTAGTTTCACTCAAAATCTCATTAAATTTAAGCATATGCTCAAAATGCGGCTCACTTTGGCACGACACCCGGTCATTAATAATCAAAGATGTATTCGTAGCAGAAGTTGTTGTAAGTAGACTTCGTCTTCGACTTGTTCATCTAATAATATCATAAACGGCGCCTCCCACTGCGCATGACGCAGTTCATCTCACTGATGTTGGTCCTGATGTGCCGCAACGATACCAAAACGCTGTAATTGTCTCACATCTATAACCTGTACAGCGTACTATTCCAATTTTGCAGTGTGGTGGCGGTGGGAGGACTATTATATTAATGCTTCATCGACCGCAAAAGCCGTTGACAACTGCATCACAAACAAGGCCGCAATTTTCAGACCCCATCTGCTGGTGCAGAAGCAAATATATATGTTCTCCTTAATAAGGATGTTGAATGGAACATAAGAATGGGAAAAATGAAAGAGAAAATATACACAAAGATGCTAAAAATTCTTGTTACAGGACAAAAAATAGAGATGCTGCTTAATACCCTATGACCACAGGCTTCAAAACATTGGCAGAAAGAATGGCAATATGACAGAAGACAGACAGACACAGTCCTCACTCACAGAGAGATATTTGGATTTGGATTTGGAGTAACTAAGTAGATCGATAAAAAAGATCTATAACTGTAGCACTCATACTACAGCTGCGACCCCGAAAGAAGAAGAATCATGTTCGTACAGATGATGATTGAACCAAGTACGACAGATTATAGACAGACGAGACGGATTTGGATTTGGAAATATCAGATTTGGACGAGATCATGACCAAGACGGAGAATATGACAGAATAAGAATGAAAAACATGTTGAAGTAGAAGATGTTCCCTTAGGAGGAAGCACCAGAGGCAGAGCACCGATCCTGTTGTTCAATAAGACAGACTGTATTTTGTTGAGCTTGAAGCAGTTACAACTTCAACAAGAACTATGCTCCTGTGCGACGTCTGCCTCTGCCTCTGTGTGTTGGAGGAACATGTTAAAATTCGACACAGGACGAGACGAGCAGCACGAGATGCTCATGCATGCAGGGCCTTCGCCAACTAGTGTTTGTGTTTGCTCCTGTCTGCCAAGAGCAGGTACGTATCTGATATACTTTCTGCTCTTACGGATGATCGATATCATCGATCAAGCCCGAAGAAGAGAGAGAATGACTACTACTTAGTCGCTCATCTTGCTTCATTGTTCATCGATTACAATACAGTACAATACAGTTGCGGGCAGCGAAAGGTGTCCTGATATGCTCCGAGGGTCGGGGATTTGGGGCAGCAAAAAAAATTCAGATACTTGCTTCTTGGACATATCACAGCTTCTACTCCTCGTGTTCACGAAGATCTGTACTACGCTAACGCTAGTACAAAGGACTACCTGTCGTTCTTGCAATATGAACAACTCAATCAGTGCGTCTACGAATGTGGTAAAAAAATAAGCTTCCCGACAAGGCTCTCTTCAGAACCACGAACGGCCTAAGTAAGTATCTCCTCGATGATGTTGGACCCAGCTAACAACCATGTATGCAGTAGGGGTATCAGGTAAAAACATGTAGTTGTACTTCTGTTTAAAGGAGCATATTAGACAACTAGCGTAGCACTGTACAATATCTATGCATGACTAAAATAAAGACCTTGGCCTTGCAGAAAATCGAGTATCATATGGTTATGGTGGTCACTCAGAGGTAACGACAATAGAAGCATACATCGACGGCCCTGCTTTGCCATTAGCATAGTAGTTAGAGGAGTCTATTATTCTTCCACTTCTAGAAAAGGACTGGTGAAACTACACGACTTGATGTTCATGTCTAACTACAACTAGTGGTAGTTGTAGCAACAATAAGTAATTGCACATACAACTTAGTTGTAGTTTGGGGGCGACAGTTGAAACCACAATTATCGAACGACAACTACCCACAGCACACGCCGCTAGTACGAAAGAGGTAGTTTCTTTTTTACGCTTAGTTGTTTCCTTTGTTACACAAATGTTTGATGCAAGGCTATAATTCCATCTGGCGTTTGCTCCGAATCACGGAATATGTCCTCCAAGACTTTGGGTGGAGGACCCTCTGGCCACTTTTTTTCGTCCCATATCAAAACTGCCGACTGATCACCCAAATTTAGGAAATTACTCTCTCCCCAAGGGGTGTACGCCCCAGCACCTGGACGAGGGTTGCGAGGTAGAGGAGGTAGGGGAGGTTTGTTCCAATTCCATTTGTTAAACTTAAAAAAAATATAGTTATAAAGAAGTGGTAGCCCAGTGGTAGATGATATAAATTGATTTGTTTTGCACAGAAAGTTCAGGCTGTCCACTCAACGTCCACGGTAGTTTCGGCTTTTCCCTTAAAAATCTCGAGAGCCTTAGAATTCAGCAGGTGACGATCTTTCTAACAAAAAACAAAAGGCATTTGCATAAAAAACTAAATATACCTAGCGCGATCCAGGTTTTATCAGGGTAGTTGCTTGCTGCGAGAAGCTCGTGGACGTTTTCCCACTTGTCCGCTGGATCGTTCTCTGCGGGTACTTGATTATTCATCCTATCTACGATCCAATCCAGTAATGGCTGATAAAACAACAAGTAACTTCTCGCTGGCGCCCTGATAAGGTGGAGTGGAGCAGTAATGGCTGATAAAACAACAAGTAACTTCTCGCTGGCGCCCTGATAAGGTGGAGTGGAGCAGTAATGGCTGATAAAACAACAAGTAACTTCTCGCTGGGGCCCTGATAAGGTGGAGTGGAGCAGTAATGGCTGATAAAACAACAAGTAACTTCTCGCTGGCGCCCTGATAAGGTGGAGTGGAGCAGTAATGGTTGATAAAACAACAAGTAACTTCTCGCTGGCGCCCTGGTCGGTAGAAGAGGAGGTCGGTAGAGTGGAGTACTAGAGCTAGTAATTCTAGTAGAAGTGAGGTGGTCGCTAGAGTTGTGGAGTAGAGCTAGTAATTCTAGTAGAAGTGAGGTGCTCGGTAGAGTGGAGTAGAGCTAGTAATTCTAGTAGAAGTGAGGTGGTCGGTAGAAGAGTGGAGTAGAGCTAGTAATTCTAGTAGAAGTGAGGTGGTCGGTAGAGTGGAGTACTAGAGCTAGTAATTCTAGTAGAAGTGAGGTGGTCGGTAGAGTGGAGTAGAGCTAGTAACTCTAGTAGAAAAACTAAAATAAGCGAGTAACAGACGAGAATAACCGAGATACTGTGGAGAAGGAAGAGTAGCCTTGACGTTAAGCTACCTCCCTTATTTCAGTCAGTAACTCGTTTATTTTGAGTTTTCGAATAGTAGGAGTGGACTAATGCTCTTAATCTTCTCATTTATCTCTCTGAAAGCCAAAAGAGAGAGACAATTTCTATATATAAGTATCAATTCGTGTTATAGGTTACGATATGTTTGTTGTCGCTCTAATTCTTTTTTGGCGATGGTTGGCGATGATGATTAAAAATATATCCATCTAAAAATGATTCTCATGATCCTTACGGCAAGCACACAGCGCAAGTAATCTACTAATTCCAAAAACTAAACATCAACTTCTTCTTGTTGTAGAAGTACCTTTCTGTGTATTCCTGTAGGACGCCGTTTCTCATGACCCAGCTTCCAATCCAGAGTCGTGAGACAAGGCTAGGTTTATTTTCGGGTGTCTTGGGATCGAAACAATCTATGTTGAAATGCCGGATCGATATTCCTTTTGATGCACGACCCCAGTTTTTCTTCTCTGAAAGCTTCACAGACCTGGAGATGTTGTAGTAGTGGTAATTATGGTCGTAACTACGGTATTGTGCAGCTTGTGGTACTAGAAGTGGTAATTCGCTGTACATTATGCTGAAGAGACTAAGTAGACGGTGTTTAGTCTAAATCTAGAGCTACCCCTGCAATGGTTCATTTAATCAAAACGCACACACTCTAGAGCACATATTTTTATTCGCTGTATCATATTACTTTCAAAGTCTTCGTGAGTGGCCAACGCCAAACCCAAGAGATTAAAGCAAAAGCTTTGATTAATAGAATTCCTCACGTGCTAGATTAATAGAATTCCTCCATCTTCTTAGGAGTCATAATTGTCGTTTTTGGTCCTTGTATCACATGATGTTGCCTACAAGCAATAAGCAGAAGATGGCAATCTAAATCTAGAATTAAAGATGGGGTTTTACATCAACTGCGACTACCATATTAAAGAAATCTGTTATACAGAGGAATACAAAAACTTAAACTTCTAAAAAAAGAAGTAGCCATTCCCCCACTGATTCATCTTCGCAAAGAGCAGGACAATGACGACAAGTACCCTTCCAAAGAGCGCACTGAGCAATCGTTGAAAGCAGCCAGGCGTTCTGGAATAAGTTTTTTGACCCTTTTTTTGCCACTACTTGGTGTCTCATAGACTATTGTAGCATAAAGAGCAACCTCGGGCTCCACTTGGACCTTGGAGACGCCTGTGATTAGAGCTAGTAGCAAGAATCCAAATCATTGAAGAAAAGATCCCTACTTATTTTGTATGCTACAGATGGCATCTGAGCATACAGATGATGACAGCTCATAATTATGCTACAGATGCAGTGATGCAGTGAGTTGTGCATGTAACGCGCACAGGACGTCGCGATCATGGAGATGGAGCATGACTAAGATTAAGTAGTAATATAATCAGTACTTCTTCTACTTGTTCTATACGTATCTATTCGTAACATATACGTATTCCTATTGCCTTAATGTTACTTTGCCTGGGTGATGAATGATCGCGCTGGCGATGGGAAATCTGCGCAGGCGGTGTAATTTTTCCTCCAGCGTTTCGTCTCTCCCGGTGTTGCTGCGAACTAAGGCCAAGCTGTCCATCGAGTCATGATACGCAGAGCTACTCCCCCTGGTGTTCAATGTTAGAACAACAAAAATTTTGTAGAAACACTTTCTTAGATGCAGCTGGAAGTGAACATCTTCCTCTGATAGACCCCCACCTTTTCCTAGTTATTCTTGCTTCTGCAGCATGTGTAAGTGCGTTCATTGTACTAATTCATCTTGGTCGTGGTCCTCACATCTACAACTTGCCACCATGAAGAGCACGCCCACTTGAAAGTTGTATTCTACGCCTACTTAGAGTCTCTGGTATTCTACACCTTAGATTCTATGAAAGGGTAGCAAGATGCCCACGACCGTTCTGGTATTCTTCTATGTCATACAAAGGCAGGTACCAAAATGCTCCTGAGTAGAGACAGGGATGACGAGTAGTAAAAGCCGAGCATAAAAATGCTTGTGTTTGATGCTCCTCCACCAAGTCCTTTTGGCCAATGCCAATATCGTCCTGATCTTCCAGCTGTCCTCCACTATATCCCCTGGACGATGCTGAGGTGCCCCCTGTTAGTCCGCGCATCATGGCTTGCGTTTTTTTTCGCATTTCCATGAGCTTCACACGGCTTGCGGTACTGCGCTGGCCCTTCAACGTATTCGTGCGCATGTCTTTTCCAGGAGGAACGTAAAAAGCGAAAATTGCAGGAGGCATTGTCTGTTTCGATCCAAGGACAGCATCGCCTAGATGAGAAGGAGGTTGAGGACAAACAAGGTAAAAACTAGTACAGCTACGAGAGGCAGCTAGAGAGGAAGCTGTAACTACAGGTGAAACAGGCACAACATGAGGATGAGCATACTTCGTTTTTACTAATACTATTACTTATACTTTGAGTCGCCAATACTAAGTAAAAATGAACAACTATATATAAGGCCAATAAGAATATTAAGATCAACATCAATATAAACACGCTGAAGACATTCAGATCAGATTTTCTACCTGGTCCCTCACCAGCTTGGTCGAGATGCCCCGCCACATTCCCTGCAACCCCGATGCCAAATGTGTGTCGCCATGAGCGAAAGCGTGCAGCATTCCGAACAAGTGTGAGATTAGATCAGTGCCTCCTTCACTTCATTTCCTTTTCTTCTACTTACTCATCATGAAGATCCTACTCATAGATGGAATGTTCAACATGGGGCCCGGGCCACTATGATAATGATTATGATCTAACTATGCAATATAAATAATTCATCTATTTATCAAAACTGGTATACCATGCACGTACACGTACTCCTACTTCTACTTCAAACTCTTCATCTTGAATAAGTACACTCAACAATAAAACTAAAAATCAGCCCTGCTATAAACATCCTAACGATCCAAAAGTTGTCGCTTCTGATGTTACGAATCTCCTCGGCGATCTGCCGAAGATTTCCCTGGCGTTTTCTACTCGCTAAAAGTTACCGCTTCTATTGCAAAAGCAAAGCATATTTCCGACATCATAATGACAGTCTTGTAGTTCTGCACCCACTCTCCGAAATCTACGAGGCCATCACCATCCCGATCCAGAACCTCCAGAAGGAAGTCGGTCATTTCAGGCACCATCAGGTCTTGGCACATCCGATGCACGTCGTGCTCGTCCAGGATGCCCTGACAACGATGGTCCACGGACTGGAAGACAGCCCATTATTAGAACTCACATAAATCATCTTGGTGAGCTTCCTGCTGGATCCCTGTCGTCCTTGAGAACAGGGTGGACCAAGAAGATGCCGCCAGGAAGATGCATTTACAGTCTACTTACAGTCTACTTATACAGGGAAGATGCATTTTTTACTGTAAGTACAAGTAGTAGTCTTAACATTGTCTTGGAAATCGTTTTCTGAGTTCTTCTATCTGTTCCGGGCTCAACACTTCTAGATGTTCCGGGTCTCGCATAATGTTGGATACGGAAAGAAAGGAACGAGAAGGTGTGCTGCATCGACGACCAAAAATTGATGGTCCTCTAGGTTCTTGCTTCACATTCACCCTATGCTGAAGGAGGTGTGGCGAAGCGGCTGCAGACAAAAAGCGGCTCTGCGTTTGCAAACGGGCCGACAACTGCTGCAACGAGAACGACCGTGTCCCGCACAGCTCGGTGGAGCCACAATTTTTTCCCAGTTGAAATATGCGTCGCATCTTTGTAGTTTCTGAATGTCTTATTAATAACGTCCAGTTCCTGTGAAGCATAGCAAAAATTATAAGGAGCTTTCTAAAAGAACAAATAGTTCATTGTTCAACTTCTCAATTCTACCTCTACAACTTATTTTTTGTGTTGCTGTATCAGTATCACGACACCGGGACACATCACCTCCTGCTACAAAAAATAAAAGAAATGGTGGGCGAGGGGTGCTCTACGAACGTCTATTCTAAAATAGGCGCGCAGTAGTTCGTCCCTGTAGGTCGTGCGAATGTCTTATGTATGTTGAAGACAGAGAGACATTGATATCTTAACTTTTTTTATTGAACAAGAAGAACTACAGGATCTCTCTCACTCCTTAAATACAACAAATGATGAAGGCGTCAGTATACAGATGACTGAGAAAATCCCAGAAACCGAAATGAAATGCTCATTCTTCAAGCAATCCTATGAATGATAGGACAACTCAGCAGCTTGATGTTGTGTCCTATAGTACTGCTCTCAACAGAAAGAGGACGCTCATAACTCTGCTGATATGAAGATTGTAACGCCTCAGAATAAGAATAAGAACAGACATCATCATGATGAAGATGCACGTCAACTGATTTTTCTGCTGCTCTTTCACTTTCTCTTTCGTAAATATTATAACATTATAAATCTGTTATATCAATACCATCTAATGGGAACACTTCAACATATCTGCAACAGGCAGGAGGCGAAGGTTGTCCTTTGATGATATCCTCATCATCGGCCGCTTCGCATTTTTCCTTGCTTTGGCTTTCAGTGCCTTTCGTCCTACAATAATCTGCCCAGTATTTATGCAGCGTCGCTTCATCAAACACACCCGCCTTGGTGTCGCCACTTTTGTCATCCGACACGACCATGGCTTCTTGTTTCTCCTGCATTCCCTTCATCATTACCGCATGGCAGAGGTCATAGGCGGTCTGCGCGGAGACAGGAAGACGCAATGGCACACACTTCCACTTGTACTGGATGTCGTCCTTGTCGATGTCGTCCTTGCGGGTTAATTCATTCCAGAACACTTTCCCATTCGTGTGGTCCATGACAAGCTCTCCCGCTAGCTCTACTACTGGCGCTGTATCATCATTTTCATCAGATGAAGCAGGACTTTGTAAGCGCAAGCTGTCCAATGTTTGTACCATCTTGGCCCAGCCTTGAGGCTCGCCGGCGCCAGAACTAGCGCGAGGTCGTTGTTGCGCTTCTAGCTCACGGCCGACCATTTGACTAAACCTTTGTTGGAGCTAGTTTTTCGCTATCGTCCCTGATTCATTGAGTGAGTCGATGCCCTTGTTTGTCCCCCGCCTACTTTTCCTCTATCAATCAAGCAAGGGGGTCGGACTCCACTCAGCATATCTCATGCCGAATACGATAGTGATAAACTAGCCTTAACTTTGTTGGAAGTCCGCCAATTGCTGGAAGGTGAGAGAATACTTGTCCGTGACCGAATCGGCTTCACGTTCAGTCCCCATGACATTCGCCAATATGCGAGGTGAGCTGTCCGATGGTACTTTTGTGGGCGCAAAAATCGAAATGACCGACGGCGAGTCACCTCCCTTGATGGTGCGACTTCCACGCGCTGCGAAGTAGGAGGAGAACCAATTTGTGGTAGGCTTTGATTCTCGAGCGAAATCGTTTTCAATTCCTTTGGCAGCGTTGCAGACCTCAAAGATCATCATGTCGCTTCCGAGGATTTTCGCGAAGTCATTGAGGTTGTCGAGGGCGGTGTTGTATTGCCGCTGTAGCTCTTTTAGATCTAAATCTAGTTGTTCCAGCTCGTCAGCTTCTTCAATATTTCCAGCTCTCTCTGTACGTACAGATGGCGCAAAATCTCGATTAACACTACAATACCCACTGCGTGGATTCACAATGTGTACGTTCAGCACGTTTACTCTCTCTTTTGGAGTTGTGCACCTGTCAGCACCCTGGAAGAGCACTGTGATAACTGTTTGGAGGGCAAACGCGTGAAGATTGCATATCCGTATACTGGCACTACTTCGTCTTTCCTCCGACTTAGCATCTTTCACGCCTTTTTTAGCTCTAGTTCGATCGGATAGCAGCCGCCAGCCTGCCTCTTGCACGCTTCGCGCTAAGCGTGTCAGCTCAATCAGCGTGATAGCATTCAGGCGCTTTTCGTAATCCTCGTCCGGCTTCTTTGCACTGCCCGCAGCTCCGCTTTCACGGATATTAGAAGATGGAGAGCTTTTTATAACATCTTGCATCCGCATCTTCCTAAATAAGCGCGTGCTAAGTGTCTTCTTCTACTCCTTTAACTTTTCTAGATCCCCCTTGAGTTGTTTTTTAAGCGAGGAGACTCGCCCAAGATAGTAACACCTCACACGGACCACGCGGGATGATACAGAACTTGCCTTAGCGTTATTGCCACCTTCGAGCCAGCTGCCCACGAACCGAGTCCACTGATCAACATTAAGAGCATGCGAGCGAATCTCTTGCACCAACCTGCTCTCGACCTCCTTCTGATTCAACGCTGAGCCTGATTAGAAAGATCCTGAGACCCATATCCTTGGATGTTTCTTTTATTTTCCGTTGAAAAAGTAATGAGGTAGAACTGTAGGACTTTTCAAAGTCTAAATTTCTAGATTTCCGTTGAGAAATTAAAGACACAGGGATGATGTCGAGGAGGAGGATCCTTCGGCGGTAGCCTTCATAACTCTTTTGCTTGGGGTCGTAGTATTCGCGAATGCGAGAAAGAATGCGAAGCTTATCGCCAATCTCCAGTCGCGGAACCAGGTTCACCAGCGCCGAAGCCGCGTTCCGGGTGAGGCCGTCAATAACGATGCGCCCCGACATGATTTTTCTAAAGCTTTTCGACAAATGTCCCAGCCGCGCCTTGGCCCATCTGATAGGCCTCTTATCTTTGCGTGGAGTGAGCGGCTCAGCCGCCCCTTCCGGAGTCTGAATCTGCGAGCCTTCATTTCCACACGAGAATGAGACCACATCTCCTGAGGGAATGTCAATGATGCCATTCGCCTTTTGTTCCACAATCGCTCCTCGGGAGGCGGCGAGAAGGCTGGCGATGCACCTTGTTAGCAGTGGCGAGCCGACGACGCCCGCGTCCGAGCTTCCACCGGCACTGGCGCCAGCGCCACTATCACTGTCCTTCACCGAACTGCCATAGTATAATGGATCGCCTTGAAAAGAGCTCGCGAAAGAATCTCTGCTCGTCTCGGCATTGATAGAAAGTAGGTTATCATGGGCGCAACGTTCACCGCCTTCCTTAGTCGGAGCACTCGGATCGCTGCTTCGCCCTGCAGCTGCTGGCGGTGACGGGGGTGTTGGTGCTGCAGCTGTCGGCGCTGCCGCTGTCCCATCTTCGTCCCCGTCTTGGGTGATCGTGATGCCCTCTTCTGCTGCTTTGGCGAGTCTTTTGACGTCTCCCGCAAACTCCCGCAGCTTCAAAGTCGTGCGTCCCTTCGCGATGTTCGTGTTACTGTGTATAGCCTGGAAGGCAGATTCCCCCTGGGCCCACGGTGGCGCCTCTGGCAAGAACCCGCTGGGGAGTCCCCACGCGGTTACCATAGAGCGAAACTCACTTGCCGCTTCAATCATCGCAGGCGAGGCACCAAAGGAGAAACCGATAATGACACTCACTGGCGTACCGACGACCGATATTAAAAGGGTTGTCGAGTCGGGAGGATCGAAGCCAAAGTCTTCTGCTCGCTCTCCGTCGGTGCTGCCACGGTTCAGAGCAGTGGCGATGGTGTACTTCAGAATATTGGACATCAAGGCAGTGAGGATGCTCACAACGAAAGGGGTCACTACGCTCCCAGCGGCCAACCCGAGAAAAGCAAAAGGAAGCACGATCCCGCCACTCACTGTGATGGCCGCTGTGACACCGATCGAGAAAGCGGCACTGAGTCCGCCAAAGGCTAGCATGTTCACGATTTTAGCTCGAGTTCTCTTCTCTTTCAGGGCGGTTATCGCACGTTGCACCATCTCCGCCATGCGGTCTTCCAGATATCGCCGAAAGTGCAATAGCCGCCTCCAATTTCGGCCGCCGGCGAACGGAAATCCGATTGGCAACCGATTGAACAACGCCTCTTGAACAAAACGTGGAAGCTTGAGAGTGGTCTCATAAAGTAGAAGAGCGGCGGGGGCGACGTCGTATGAATAATCCTCATCTGGAGAATTGCCGTCTGAAGGATTGTCCATGTCTGAAGGATTGTCCATTAAAAAAGCCTCAGCACCTTGAAGATCTTCGTCTTCCTCTTCAGGATCCTCTTCATCCGCCTCCAGGTGGCCACTTCTGCATCTGCTGTCCACCCCTACTCGATTATTGTTATCAGAATCTTCATCCTCGAGGACACTTGTTTCCACATATGAAGCTAGGACTTGCCCATCGATTCGCATTTCAGAATCATCTTTCTCCGCGACAGTACACTTCTTGACCAAGTTGAGTAGTGGATTCTCCAAAACCTTTGGCCTCCAATAATCAAACTTTGTGATACGACGGTCTTGTTGTTGTGGTGGTGAGTCTGCTGTTCCGGCATTTTGCTTCGTTGACTGTGACAACTTGATGAACCTCAGCAGTGTTTCCACAAAAACACTCGGATCCGCTGACCTCCGCATCGATGATGAGAGCACGTTCTTGAATGCTTTTCCCAGTTTTTCGAGCTTCTCGCGTAGCAACCTCGACGCAACGTCCTTCCCATCAACCGGCGCTTCTACATTGCCGCGAGGAGGAGGACTAAATATCGGGTGAAACTGACGAAAATTTTCTTGTGTGCCCATCGCGCTGGTTGAAGCTTTCGGTATCGTCGCGCTCGTCTGATCTTCTATAAAAGACACAGGCGCCTGCGTTGTTTCCCACCAATAAAGATCGGAAAAGGCGTCTACAACTACTTCTTCGGTACTACTTTTTGTCTGATAATTATTCTGTCGCTGCTCTTGTTCAATTCTTGTGGCGGTCGCATTCAGGGAAAGAAACAACTCGTCAGAAAATTTCATCTGTGGCCACTTCTGAGAATTTCGCCAGCCTTTTTTCTTTCTAGAAGTCCGTGTTGTTCTTGATCTTTCCTTCTTTTCAGAAGAGGAGCTGTGCGCTTCTTTACCTCTAGCTCCACCAGAAGAAGCACTAGTAGTTGTACCTCCACTGGTAGGGTTGTATAAACCGCCAGTACTTCTGCTACTAGCACCAGACGAGTGTAAAGCGTAATCATCAATAAATTCACTATTGGTGTTCTCCTCGATGCTCCTGAGCTCGATGCTATAATTCACAATTTCTGGTACAACTGGTGAGGCTGCCGCGATTTAGAGCTTGAGCTCCTCACGAGGATATTAATTCATCTTCTACTTCTCCTACGTCACGAGGATATTAATTCAATGGGTTGATGTACTGGAGCAGCTGTAAGAGAAAGAGAGGAATTGGATTTATTGACATGCGTATGTCCCTGTGCGTTGTAAGAGAAAGAGAGGAATTTTTCATGTGTATGTCCCTGTTATGGCCGTTCTTGATCACCGTAGATTTTTTTTTTTTTTTGCGTTAGGACTATATGCCACCGCCCTTTCAAACAATTAATTAACACGTTCAACTAATGCCATACAAATTACATACTAGGGGCGCATAAGGCCGTACATTCGGCCACAAATCTACGAATATCGGAGGAGCCGTACATTCGGCCCCTGTAGAAAACCTAAGGCGCAACCCGACGCAGCGGGGCCCCATGAGCAAGTCAGCACACCTGCAGGGGTATGACACGCCGCAACTCTGATGATTGATTTACTGATGAACCACCTAAAGCATGAGCTGACAGGTAAAAAATTAACTACGACTAGCAAACCCGAAATCAGAAAAGCAGGCCAGTGCTAAGGTTAAGCGCAGAGATCAGACGCAACTAATGTTTTTGAGATCTCGACCGGTGAAGTCACATGCCTCACCAGTCAGCTACAGCGCGGAGCTAAAACCGTGATGAAAGCGGCCTGGTGGAAGAATGGGAGTGGCAGTAGTTGCCGTTACGGTTAAGTTACTAAGCAGTCGCATTGGTAAACCTATCATGTTACTTTTCATCTCCGTCACTTCTTCATCTCTTTCCCCCGACGTCTGCGCCAAAACCAGCGATCTCGTGAAACAAGACAAGGAAGAATAAAAGAATACATGAGAACAGAAACGAGAAAGATGATGAAGTTGCGCTAAGATGAAAAGGCAAAGCCTTAGGAATGCCAAACAACGAGGGCTACTCTACAAAAACGGGTTTGCTGCGGGAGGTAAGATACAGGATCGGACGCGAGAAAGGAGCTTGGGGCTCCTTTCTCGATCATTATCCCTCCCACGGCGACGAGGACTCAAACGAGAACAGAGCAAAGATACTCCACAGAGCGAGAGATTGACTTGCAACTCTCAGTACAACTCATCATCACACAAGGACAGAATTTAGGGAAATCTCACGCGACCATCTGCGCCCATACTTTCTCAACCCGAAGGGAAAAAGTTTGAGCTCCGGTCCTCTCACACTCAACAGACGTAGAGTTTTTTTTTTTGCGTTACATAAGATCGCCGTAGTATTGATACTAATCCATACATAAGATCGCCGTAGAGACAGACTGGCAGCTGACACGAGGTCAACTCCCACAACTAATGCCAACCCAGGCCAATGGCAATCCCGATTATCCAACAATGGAAGGGACAGTAGAGAATCCAAGACAAACGAGCTGTAGAGCTACAGGAGAAGGACGAGTAGAGGAGTTGGAATTATTAAACGAAAACATCGTGAGCGGCCTTAAGTGAGATCAACTATTCCACCCCAGTCGTAATCCCATCTGCGGGCCAGAATAAAGTTGATCTTCCTGAGGGCGTTGTCGATGTGCATTCTGCACCCTGCTCGTGATGTGATGTTCCTTTTAATAGTGGTGATGTTCTCTTTAATGGTATTATTAGAAGTGGTGAAGGTGATGTTCTCTTTAATGGTAATGTTCTTTCTAGTATTGGAGATGTTCTTTTCCTTTTTAGTGCTGGACGATGATGTTGAGTTGATATTGTAGGTCCTTGACAACTCGTCCGCCTCCAATGCCCAAGGAAACAAGAGCTTCAGCGAGTCATATTGGCCCAACAACAGCATGTACAAAATTGCTTTTTCCATACGCGCGAGGGCGATGCTTTCGTCCACCCAATGAAGCAGGTCCCCGTCGTGTTGATGACGAGGATCATAATGAAGATGATGAAGACGAGGATCATAATGATGATGCCGATGATGAAGACGAGGATCATAATGATGATGATGATGATGAGATGCCCAGTCTCGTTCAGAGACGGGTACGGGTTTTCTCATCTTCACGTGTTGTGTTGGAACTATATTCTTGTTGCGCGTGCCTTGCGCTTGCTGCAGGTTGAGAATCAACATGTGGCTCACCAAGAAATCCTTCGCGCGCTCGACAAGGTCGAGATGAGTGGAACAGTTCGCATACTCGCGATACAAAAAGTAGTCAACATCGTCCAAACGGTCATGGTAGAGCCTCTGAAGCGCCCTCCTTTGTTTCCTTTCGAGAGGTGTTGAATTTCTTTGAAATTTGTCTAGACGAAGACGTAGTAGATCGAATTCATAGTGGTCCAGTAGATCTTCAACTTCAAAATCTCTACTCGACGCCGGCGCAACTACTTGTCGGCCAAAGGCTAGTTCATCTTCACTGCCTTGTTGCCCAGCACCAGAATCGCGATCATAGAAGTAGTTCAAGTGGTAGTACAACAGAAGAAGAATCGAGCCCAAAACAACAAGAACAGTAGTCGTGCCAAGTAGACGCCGATCATGTTGAGCGAAGATGTGGTAGCTACTGCAGTTCCTCAGGAGCTTTTTGGTACGTCCAAAAAAAGCCTGCTCTTGCTCCTCTAGTACTTGTATTTCTTTACCTGTAAGTGCTTCGTTCGTCTTCATCTGCGAAGATGGATCATTTGTTCTCGTCTGTTGCAACAGCTCTTTCTGATGTTGTTCATCATGTTCTCCAATTCCTTCTACTCCTTGTCCTTCATTATTTGACCACATAGATATATTTGCATTCTTAGCAGTAGTACAGCTGCCAGTGGCACTTCTACTAGCCGTCGAAGATCTGGCTGCAGCAGGAGCACAGCCAGTGGCACTGCCAGTCGTTGAACATCTTCTGGCTCCTGTAGCTGAAGAAGACGAGGTGGAAGCTGATGATGTATTGTTGATACTACTTTTATCAGCTTGAGCGTTGTTCATGATCGCCGAGGACGCGGATGATCCTGACTTTTGTTCCTCTTCCACAAAGAACGGCCCCCGTGCCCGCAGGCCCCTACCTGGACTGCGGGTTGTCCTTGAGGACTCAACGCAACGGTTTCGGCCACAGAAGTCTTTCCCTGTTCTGATACTACTTTTATCAGCTACATCGGACCCGTCGCTGGGAAGGAGAGGATCTTGCTCTTGCTCATCTCCCTCGTCCTCAACATTAGAGCGGTCCACATCAATTCATTCCTGTGGGGGTGGACGAGTTGTATTGTCTTAATCTAAACATTTAGATTTCCTTGAGTAAGAGTAAGAGTCACAGTCACAGTCAGTAGCTAGCGCTAGAAGAATAGCTAGAAGAATTGCCGTGAGTAAGAGTAGCTAGAAGAATTGGAACTCATGCCAATACACGGGAAAAGGGTACCGAGATGCCGAGATGAAAGATGGATAAAAGCTGACCTTAACATTAGAGCGGTCCACGTATTTGATTTGGATTTTCTTAATTGAGTAAGAGTAAGCATTAGAGAGAAGAATTGGAATTCATCCCATTGAGAAGATCATGGGTTAGCTGTAGCCTACATAACGACCTTACGAACCTCGTTGCGAGATGAAGAACTCGTGTAGGAGACAACTTCTTCGAAAGCATCCTGGTGTAGTTTATCCTCGTCTTCGCCTTCTACTTCATCTTCTTTATGAGTGTAGTTTTCTGGAAGAAGTTCTTCATTTCTACTATTGATGGTTGTGGTTGAGTTTGTGCTGAGAAGCGGACACAACTCTGTGCCGCAGTCCTCTGCGCCCTCCATCGAGCTGCTCCCGGCAGGATTAAGATCCTCTGCATCTGCATGCATCATATCTGTACCAGGAGCGGCGGCAGAAGGAAGATCCTCTGCATCTGCATGCATCATATCTGTACCAGGAGCGGCATACCTTTACCAGGGCGAAGGTGCTTCAGTCGATCGATTAGGCGTTGGTCTGTTGTTCACTGTTATTTAATAAATAAGTACAACTGCGGTGGTCGGCACCAGTGGTCTTGTTCATCGAATATCTCCACGAGGAGAGCATGTTGATGTTGCCGTCCATGACATGTTCATTCTTTTGATACATGATGAATCATCACGAGAGATGCGTTGGAACGAGCAGATGAATGTGAACAAGTAGATTTTGATAACTATAGTCGAAATTCGAAAATCATGAACAATGTGTCTGTTATTTCTATGCGGAACTGGAACGGAAGATGAAAATAGCTTGGACAACTTAAATTGCTACTAGTAAAAAGTCGTGTCTCGAAATAAAAGTTCCTCGACCTCCAGCACACAGCACCTTCTTCTACCTCACGACATGAAGAACATGAACAAGCACTCCAGATCCGGAGATCAGTTCGTTACTTCGTTCCACATATGCTCCATAGAACAAGTCCATGAAGGGATCAGAGATTGAGGGACACTGAGATTGAGGGATGCTTCTAGATGAAGATGAACATATCCGTTGTGCTGTGAGAAGAATATTAAAACAGTCCTCGTTGAAGGTGACGTCGACCTTCGCAGTAGAAGAGCAGCCAGGATGAAACACAGACGAGGCCCTCAGTCACAGCGACGGAAACGCTTCAGTCACTGTTCCATTGTAGTCATTCGGGACGAGTGTTTCGCTCACGACCCTGTTGCAGTGCTATGTCGCTCGGGACATGCTGATCTGCCGGCAGAGTTGAAGGAGAAAAATTGCAGCTGTCAATTGAGTCGATTGCTCGTGCTGCATTCTCTATGTCGACGTCGTGAGTGTGATGTCCTTTGATGGGTAATCAGTGAATTCCATGCCTCTTCCTCCAAAGTCGACAACTAGTACTGTCAAGAACCAATTACTAGAAGAATGTCTGACCTGATTGATTCATTGACGACAAAAGTAAGAGATCATATGTTCTTGAAAATGGATCACTATATGTTGTTGCGGCACTTGTACTTGCAGTTGTTCTCGCTAAAAATACCTCGTCCTCAGGTAGATAGAGAACCGGTGAACAAAGTTGTAGCACTGCTGTAATTATAGTCTGACAAGCCATTTGTTCTAGAGCTTTTACATCCACTACAGTAAGTATTGAATAATAGGTATAGATCTAGAAAAATTCAGTAAATATAAACCTTTGAAGTATTTAAAAACAAGCTACACGAACTTACTTGGTCAGAGTCAGTGAAGTTAGATGAAATCCCATTCATTTTGGTGAATCAGGCAACGCGAACAATGCCCTAGTATTCCTAAGTTATGTTGTAGTTCAAGTAGGTGTAGGTTAGACCACGAAATATTTGTGATCATCGGATATGCTTAAATATTCCGAGTAGTTGCAGTGCTACTTCTAGCTTCAGAAACTACAAGTAGTCATTAGGATATATCTTGATTGTTGTAACTACAAATAGTCATTAGGATATAAATTGATTGTTGTATCAGTCGTGCTAGTAGTAACTGCAGTATTCATCTAGAATTGTAGTTGGCATGAAGATCATATTGTCGTTCTATTACCTGCTCAGTAGTTACTTTCATTATTATGAAGATGTCCAGAAGTAGATCTCTGTGTATTCATCTGTAAACACTTACTTAGTATGTGGAAGTCCGCTGTTATAGAGGTCATATGAAACTAACAACCCACTTCTTGTTGTTCCGCTTGGATTCTATTTGCATCAAAAATTATAAGGGTTAGTTCTTCTTGTTGTTCATCTTAATCTTCTATCGCAGCATATAAGAAAAAGAAAAGTAAAAGGTATTGTTCATCGTTCATCGATGTCCATGTCTATGAGCGTGAGTCAGTATCAACGTTTGCAAGTCGTGTTTGCGCATCTCCTTCAGGACCACCGTGAGAGCTACAACTCCTGGACTTGGTGCACATTGTAGTTGTTGTAGAGGTGCCCTCGTCCAGCAGCACATCATCGTGGTAGAAGACGACGTGGTCACGACCGATCTGGTGATAATTCAATATTGAGGACTCGTCTGGTTTCGGACTTTTTCGAAGTAAGGCAGAAGAATGTAGTGGAAGACGCAACCAAAGACCAGCTTTAGTTAGAGCTAGAAGAAATCCATCTTCAGCGGCATCTTCCGTCTTTTTTCCCTTGAGAAACGGGACCAAGATGCCTGTGACTGTGAGGATGGATTTCTTCTAGCCTTAATTTAGGAACAGGAGACCCGCAACAATAAGCCACGGTCTCCTTTTTCTTCTCGACGCTTTGAAGATGCTGTCAGCCTCCACTACATCATCATCATCATCACCACCGTCTGTTCTTATTCCTGAGCACTTCGTCCACTCGTGCTGTTCTACTTTTGCTTCTTTTAGAGGTAGGTTTTTGGTGCTCGCTTACCCCGCTTGTTATGCCTTTCTCATCCTATTAAGGGAGAGAGGCATAAAAAGCGGTAAGAAAAGCACCTTTAACCTACCCTTAATTCTTGCTCTTGTTTTACTCCGCCTGAAGATGACATTTTGAGATACTCCTTCTGAAGGATACTCGTATTCGCTTCCTGTTTCAATAGCAAGCCCTTGCTCTCTTCCCCTAGAGTCCTCTCTCCTGCGGCGCCTCGGAGTGTAGACGAGGAGTTGCCTTTAGAGGTACTTCTACTGCTTTTCCCTTTTGCACTCAAGATAAAGATTTGCCAATTCACATCCCAAGAACTACATAGTCATGGACGATACCTTTCTTCAGAAGTCCAAGTCTTCACGACTTAATTATATACATATTATAAGAAGACTTCATCCTAGTTGTTGTACTTGACTTTCTCTTTCTTCACTCACCAGGATCTACTTGAACAAGACCTTGACAAGTAGAACCACTCACCAGGATCTACTTGAACAAGACCTTGACTTGAAGACCTTGACAAGTAGAACACATGATCCGCTTTCTTCACTTCTCAGTTCTCTCCACCAGCACCATAATTGTAGTTGAGGTACTATCTTCGCCTGATGAGCAGGAGGAAGATGCTGATACGGATCTCGACCTCGGTCGTCCTTTGAGTGCTGCTGAAGAGCTGTCTTCTGTTGAGCTGGTATCCTGCGCCTCTTCTGCGTCTCCACCGTTTGGTTTTTTCACCTTAGCGGGTACTGTTTCTTGATCTCGACCTTCCATCTACTTATCATGTGCCTTTAAACTTATGTGGTCTATAAGAATATGATTTTTTGGTCTATATGTTTAGCTTTAGTTGCAAGGTGGTCGTGAGAACCTTGAGAAGAAGAAACTACAGAAAGTCACATCCATACGGACGATGCTAATGAAACTCATAAGCTACTTCTGAAGTCAGCATACGCATGCGGCTAAGGTAGAAGTACTTCTAACTCTAAATAGATGGTCAAGAATTGTAAAGTCGATTCGCGGGCCATAATCAACAGCATCATCCTATTCGTGCTCGTTGAAGTTGCTGCAGGCGTCGCTTGCTGTTCTCTTTCATCCACGACCTTTGCTATTTTATGTTTCCGCTGTGATATGGATGGCGTCGATTCCATCTAGCCAGACCATCGAGGCTACCCCTTTCCCCTAAAAAAAACGTATCTATAGCCTTGTTCGGGAGGGCCTCGATGCCCTGATAGATGCAAAAAACATCATCCATATTTGAGTTCTTGGATGGTTCGTGTATTTTCATGTACCGCGCGTTGACGGATATGAGATCCTCATCCTCATATAATGAGTAGCGCTCCTCCTCCACTTCTGGTTCTCTAGTAGAAGAAGGAGCGCCACTAGGACACGAAGTGGTTGTAGCGCAGCCTCTAGTAGAAGCATTAGGGGTAGGCTTTTGATGGTGTTCGTTTACCCCGTTCGTTATGCCTTTCCCCCTCCAGAAGGGCAAAACGAACGCTAGATAACAGGGGGAACACCTTTAACCTACGCTTAAAAATATTATGCGCTGTATTACTAGTATTACCTCTAGTACTAGTTGTGGTGGTCCAACCACAAGGAGCCCTCTGTCCTTGGTCTCCTTCAGAAGCTGGTGTCGTCTTTCCGGCTTTTATCTCAGCCTCTCCATGATCTCGCCTCCGCAATGGACAGGGAAGTAAGCAGGCGAAAAACCGCAAGCATGGCGACGGAGAAGTCCTTCTTCCTTCGTAGTTCTTCATGCTGCGATCTTCTGCTTTGTCTACAGAAAGGATTAGATGAAGGGCCTTGCCACAGGTACTACGCTTCATGCATTCATTCGTTTAGATTTACCTGTTCGAGAGGTGTAGTTGTCCTCATGCTAGAGTTGCGACCCGGAAAGAAGAAGAATCATGTTCCTACAGATGATGATTTTTGAACTAAGTACGACAGATTTTAGACAGACGAGACGGACGAGAAGATGACCAAGACGGAGAATAAGAATGAAAAACGTAGAGGAGGGAGCACCAGGACCAGAGCACCGATCGCGTTGTTTAATAAGACAGTTCGAGAGGTGCAGTTGTCCTTGTAGTTGTCTACCGCTGCAGCCGCTGTTGCTTCGCTTATTGTACATAAAAATGTTGATTGATATTAAAGCGCCCCTGCATATTTCGATCTGTCAAACTGAAGATCATGCCTTTACGACTAAGCATATTGTAGTAGTAATCTAATCATCTACTTCTTGTGGGTCAAACTCAAAAATCACAAAAGGGGATAACAAGTCTACGAGTTGTAGAGGGAAAACTAGCCGGTTTTTACTACGTTTAGCCTTAACTTATTTGTGAGAAGCGTTCTTGCCACTCCTGACCCCAAAGGAGCCGGCGCTTCTGCTGAGGGATGCAATGTGGAAATGCTTACGATTACATGATGTCGAGGCGTAGAAGAGCCTCCACTTCTGGTGGTGTGGTCCTCAACATGTTCATGTTTAGGCGTAGAAGAGCCTCCACCAGCACCTTGTCTAGGGGCGTCTTGTCTAGGGGTACTATAACCAGGCTTCGTAGGTGTGGCGTCCTGCATCGTCCTGCTTAGAGGGGTTCCTTCTGGAGAAGACTGGCCCCCTGAAGCTGTTGGATGGTCCTCCTCGTCTCGAAGGTGTATTAATTTGGATTTGGAACTCGTTGCACCACCTCCTCTTGCACCACCACCTCCTCCCGCAGCAGCTCCCATGATAGAAGAACTTGCGCCGGTGATCCCAGCAGGAGATCGAGTTTCAACATAGTCGCCATTGAACAAGGTTGGTCGGTGAACCAGGTTCTCATCTACGACGGCGGTCTCCAACTCAGCGGCTCTTTCATGCTCCTCCATGTATTTCTGGAGGATCACATCTTTCTGGCTTCCTCTCTCAGCTATGGTGAGCACGTTCGCCTCTGTCAACTCGTGAATCCTCGTTATACTTCGCCGAATCGGCTCAGGTTCCTCCTCCTGCTCTTAGAGCTGTCCGCAATTCATCTTTCAAGTGCATCCTTGAAAAGTATGGGGGAGTATTCCCTGCTTAGGATCCTCCTCCATGCGTAGTTTCAAGGATGCGCCCAAAGATGTATTAGGTACAGCTGCCTTAATGCTCTACTACACGATGATATCCATCATGTTCATCATGATATAATTCGTGCTCATACTCGTCATGGTGATCATAAGCTCTCACTTCGTCGCCGTAACTATTAGACCACAATCAAACCGAACATCCACAGGATCACGAGAGAGAGAGAGAGAGAGAGCATGTAGTATTGTAGGTGAGCAAGAAGAGAGTAACTGGTGAGCAAGAGAGTAAATTATACAACACTAAAATCTCTTCTAGTACTTACTAGTACTAGGTACAAGAACTAGTTGTACAAGGGGTCTACAAAAATCATGAATCCTCACTGTACAAGATGAACTATATCTAGTACAATCACCGTAGTACACGATGAATCCTCGCTGTAGTTACAAAAACGCTCATGAACAAGATGAGTCAATTATACGAGGACCCATAACTTCTTCTTCTTCCTCGTGATGAAGATGCTCTTGTTCGTACTCTCCGTAAATGTAATCGTCCTCTTCGTCATCGCGACGAAGCACCAAGGGCACCGCGTCTTCCTCTTATGACAAGGGAAAGAAAAAGTGTACTACAAGTTGCACTTGTACATAGTTGTACATAGTTTTATTGCTCAAGAAAAGAGGCAATGAATTTCCTACTTAGATGAAGTAAATTAAAATCATCGTACTACGTAGTTTCTTGTACCTACTATCGTACTACGTAGTTTCACTACGTAGTTTCTTGTACCTACTTGTTCTTGAGGATCATGTTGAGCAGTTGTTAGTACACTTTTTTATTATTATTTTCCTTGTTCCATCATACCTCTTCGGCTTCAGGCATATGGACCAGGGACTCGCTGTAGAGAGAGCTTCCCTCCTTCACGTCGACTTTGTAATTGATCGAAACTCTCTTCGGAAACAAACTGAAACTTTTCCGAGACCTAGCAAGGGTGAAGGTGATGAAACGCTTTTTGTAAACATGAGGAAAGAAGGCGAACAAAAGGATGGAGAGCACCAGACAAGACAGAGGAAAGATTCAGGTACATCATAGCTGTTGTAAAGATAAAGGAAAAGGGCCGTGAGATAACGAAGGTAGAAGGAGCGTGAGCAGAGTGGTCCCGAGTTGTTTAGTTGGAGTCGTAAGCGCAACAGCACTTCTACGCCTATACTATGAAGAACTCCTCGAAAATTATTCTACTTTCATGATATTTTGTTCATTTTCGAAAGTGCAACTCAGCTCTAGAAACAAACAAGTTGTACTGTCTCCTTGCAGCGTAGCCACCAGGGATGTCGCTAGTGTCCTCACCCACACGGAGAAGGTCATCGTCATGTTTGAATATGGACGGCCGTCGCGTGTTTGAGGGACTGAGACCTCCCGTCACTAGAGGATGCGAAGGATCCTGCAAAATGTCTACGCCGGAAATTAGATGAGAAAGAAATACATAGATACCGTACTCATTCAGTACTCGCACAAATATCTGCGTTGACTCCACAAAGTAGTGGGCTTTCTGACTCACTGAACAGAAGAGCACGTTGTAATTATCAAAGTACAACTTCAGAATCAGAGGTGCCTGATCTTGATGTGGAAGAAGAACTACAACTATGGTTTTCATGCTCTTTTTGGTTACCCTTCTCTAAAGTTCCGTCGTGATGATGATGATGAGTTGCCCAGTCCTTAGACGGGTATGCGCAGTTTCCTCTTAATTATAGAAGTCCTCCTTTGCATCTCTCTTCATGTTTTACTTACACCTAAAATTCTACTTACACCTAAAATCATGTTGAAAAAAAAATGATCCGTCGTTCTTACACCTAAAATGAAAACTTGATCATAAAAGATCATCATCGTCGTCTTCTTCTTCCGGTAGCGCGATAATCACTCGGTTTAACTCCGTATTCTTTTGGACCAATTCCTCGCTTGTTGCGAGATTAAACGTCGCAGGCAAGGCAATCGAGACCATGATGAGGAGGAACTACTTTTTAGAAGAGGACTACTTTTGTTGAATTATATAGTCCTAAGAAGAGGTGCGGAAGCGGAACCCAACGGCGATGCAATCGAAGATCAAGATGTAGTCCGGCGTGGTCGCACTTAAGTTTATAATTGATGCAACGTCGCCCACGCGGCCCACCACCAGTGCTCCTGCTGCAGAAATAGCACACGACTGGCTCTTGACTCAGACGAACAACATCAAGAACGTGACGTTTACGACATGATGCAACGCCATTTTCTACCCTCCTACTCGTTGCATATAGTCGTCACATCAAAGTCAATTAGGTCGAAGATTTCAACGACATCATGATGTGCATGTGGGTGGCAGATAGTGTGGTATGAAATCGAAACACGAGCGATAAGAAGTAACTACGACCAGGTACTGGAGTCTGCTCAGTGACCGAAGGACTGCAACTACAACACACTGACGAGGATCCTCTCTTATCATGAAGACAAGCAGTTCTTTTCTCAGTACTCGCCAGACGAGCAAGCTACTTCCACCAGCGCATGATCTGATGCAAACATAACCATGGTCCGACCAGAGGCAGATAGAGATACATAATACATATATGTTTGCTGAACTAGTTGTACCTAAGCCAGAAACACCACCATACTACTACGTACGGCGCTGCAAAAAATCAAGATAATCTTCATCCTCGACTCCGACGCCGCGTGTTGTACTTCCTGTACTACTGCGCGTTCTTGATGTACTACCTTGTTTACTATTAGTAAATTATACCTCACTCTAAGAACACTCTCACAAATCAAAACGAACAGCATCGTTCTTGTTCTTATTGACAGTGCAAGTAATTTTTTCCTCCGAAGACCAGCGCGGAAATAAAGTCGTGAACGAGATACAAATTGATAGAATCTACTTCTGAAGCATCACTGCTGGGTCGTGGGGGTAGTATGACGAGTTGGAGGTAGCATAGAAGAAGTCGTCTTGATGTCGGGAGGCGTAGCCGACGCCTATTAAATCTAGTAATAGGAGATCGCATGCTTCTTATCTTTAGAAGTCTTCTATATCTTTTGTTTACCTAGGGGACATAGTAGATCAAAGTTGCAATTCTTGTTCTAGCGGAACTGTTGTTCTACTGTTCTACTTGCAGCTGCAGTTGACGTGAGTCAGCAGGTCTCCAGTCTAGGCTCCACAGGTTTTCTAGGCTCCAGCAGACCGCATGGCCGCCAGAGACTTTGTACTTCTTTCAGCGTACAGGCTCTTAGCAACCGCTTTCCATCTGGCTGCTTCCTGCTCAGCCTGCTCAAGTCTCTCCCGCATCTCTTCCTTCTCCTTTTCGTAAAATGGAAGCACCGCATCAGCAAGTGACGGAATTTCTATTTGCACTTGTTGCTGCATGATCTGTGTGACTCCAGCACATGCAGAAGTATTGGTAGCCGTAGTAGAGGTAGGGGTAAAAGAAGAACAAGAGCTGCTACTCTCAACAACATGCTGTTGTAATCCTGCTCGTAGACCACCAACTTCTACATGTGTTCTTTTTGTCCTTTTTCGTGTCGTAGTAGAAGACTCTTCCATCGCGGTGTCGTCCAATTCTGGTAGCGGATTCAGCAAAGCGCGCTTCAGCATGCTGGCAGCCTTGTCTGATGATACGTCGTTCCCGCACACTGCACGTTGCAACGGCCTCCACAAAGTCGGTGCATGCGTCGCTTGAAACACTTTCATGGACTTGTGTTTACCGGCATTCCCAGCTTCTCCTGATCCTCCAACTGTCCTGGTCGAGGCAGCACTATTTCGAATGCTCAACTTATTATTTGTTAAGGCTGTCCCAGTGCTTTTCAGTCGGGGACAGACATGTACTGCAGAAATAAGATTTGTGGATGAAGCGGAGAGGGCTGATAAGCTACCGCCTTGTGCACCGGTTGATGCACTGGAGCTGCTTGGTGCTTTGATTGTTCGCACTAGCTGGCCTCCTGCACCTGCTCCTCTATGTTGAAGTTCACCAGCAGGACTAAGGAGCGTGCTATTTCGTCCTAGCATTTTCCGTTCTCCGGTCTCGGCAACCTCCTCTCCTCTTGTATCATAAATCCGTGCTTCGACGCCGTCAGACACTACTAAGAAACATCCATCGTAAGAGAGCGACATGGAAGTTATCGCGAGGTGTTGAGCTTGAGTCGCAGCAGTACTAGTTGATGTGGCAGCCTCTATGTCTTGATGCTGCCCTCCTCCAACAGCTGGTAGGATGAAGTCTACTACTCCTGACGAAGGGGTAGTACTGCGCGTAGACGTCGTCGTAGATGACGAGAGAGGTGCTGACACAACTACACCACCTAGACACAGTTTTTTGACACATCCTCTTGATAACCCCGCATACAAATCGCCACTAGGGCCTAGGGCAAGGGAATGCACAGGACTCAACAGCTGGAAGTTGCGAAGTTCGCGACCGGTGAAGATATCACACTGCCGGACGCTGTGATCCAGAGAACCAGACACGACGCTGCCACCATCCTCGCAGAAGAGAACCTGCATTTTTTAGGTCGTTAGGAGGGCTCTTAGTGCTGCCCATTCAACTGATGTACCCTCTTCATTGAATTGAAGAATAATTAGAATTTTTAGAATTTTAATAATCTTCATCAAGGGACGATGAAGAAAGGGTTAGCAAGTATTAGCATAGATTTGGATGTGGATTACTTTCTCAAGAACAACCTTCAGAAAGAATATTGATATTCCATCATATCAAATCAAGTTTGATGTGACGTTTTTCATTTTGTAGAACAAGTAGACGTGTAACAAGTACCTTTGTGACTCCGAGAGTGTGGCCTGTCCATCTTCGAAGTTCGTTGCTTTGACTCGAACTCTGGTTCTTGCGGTACAAATTTGTCCAGACTGCGACGCCCCCCTCTTGACTGCCACTTACGAGCAAGTCGTCACTTGGGGACAGTGCCAACGTCGCAACGGCCTGGTAGTGTGCATGGGGGAAGCAGTTCACCAACTGTCCCGTCCGAACATGCCACACGTAGATTTTGCCGCTTTCAGACCCTGCGAAAAGGTATTCACCGCAAGCCGAAAAGAGCATGCAACCGAGCTTTTCGGGCAACGAGGCGCGATAGAAAGGAGCTGCACCAAAGGTGCCAGATCCTCCCATCTTGTTACTCCCACTCGTTCCTGCTTTTGATGTTGCAACAGTTTGATCCTGGAAAAGGCTAGAACAGGAAACTCCTACTCCTCCCCCTGTCGACGTGGTCATCATTTTATTCAACATTTGTTCCTCTTCTTCGATTGCCAACGTTTTACTCATCGTCGAGCTCTGGAAAACAAACAGCAAGGCCTTCTCAGGGTGCTGGGAGACGGCAAAGACTCCACCATTCCCGGACACGGCTAGAGTTTCCGGACTAGCCCCAGCGCCAGAAGGACATGACCACCGTTCGAGGATAGTGCTGCCGCTCGTTGCACCTTTTAGCGCGTGGGCCTGCACCTGCCCATTGCGCGAAACTACCAGAATTTGCTCCTCCATCTTGTAAAATATTACGTGCGTGCCTTGTTTTCTAGTACTTGAGGTTGAGGTTGTTCCTACTTCTGCAGAAAATATTAGCAATAAATGACCACTCGTGGAGGTGGAATGAGATAAGAATCTAGGAAACAGAAACAAGACTAGAGATATTCGTTGTATTTGAGCCAGAGCCTGCACCTGTATGATGATGATGATGATGATGATGATGATGATGATGAATGGACTAGACGGTGTTTAACAAGAGGACCAGCACACTAATTTAGGCACTTATTATTCACTTACACTTAGACTTACGCCTATATTCATGCGCTGCGGAACCGTAATCTCCTGTTTCCTCGCAGAAGCCCTGCGACATAGATGATCTCTTCCTCTTCTCAGGGGGAGCATTCAGATCCTCCTACAACTCGTATTTCCTGAAAATCAAGAAAGATCTAGATCTTTTGTTCTCAACATGAAGTTGTGGATCGTTTTTACCCTAGTATGCCTCAAATCGTCGATCTGGATCCTTTTCTTATTCTTTATGCTTATTCTCCAACTTCTGAAAATGATTATCGCGGAAGATCATGATCTACTTCGTGTTGAAAAATCTCAATATGCAGACGACGATTACAACTACAATTCCAAATTTTTCGAGTTTCTTGGACGCACCAGCTTGGGTCGTGGGCCATGATCGATTCTTGGGAACTTCCGGCACAACACTTCTGGTCACCAACATTGCGGACTCATCATCATTGCATCTCAAATGATCACGCAGGATCATTGCGTACTCTTTTTCTTTCTTTGTACTTGTCATCAGATTCTGCTTTGCCACTGTCACCATTAGAAATATTTTCATTTTATCTTGTCAACTACAAGAAGCCAGTGCGATTTCTAATGGCACCATAGGTTAGGTTAGGTGCTTCACCTATCTTCTTGTTCTTCTACTTTGGGAGAAGCACTTCAAGATCAAACTAGTGGTCTTCCATTATTCCATCATCTGACGAATGGTGCTGGTATTTGGTATAGCCTGATTTTGATCATGAGGAAAACAAGAAGGGAATCCTTGTGATCGAATTCAGGTTACCAAATACTCGAACCATACATCTGAACCGACAACACTAACACGGTTCGCTGCTACCTAACATCTCGTGTAAAAGAACATTGTTCATCATCTACTTACAACTAGGATGATCCATGTACTCAGTTCGTAGAAGTTCTTGTCCTAGTTCGTGTCATAGGTTAGCAACATATTTGACTACATTTTTGTTCGGAAGATTCATATATCATCAATAGGAGAAATTCAAATTTTTTCATATTAACACAAGATCTCTACAGGAAGCAGTTACGTGCTTCGAGTTAGACAGCATTTCTATACATTAGGTCATTTGTTCCAATGATGTCAAATTATAATCGTGGAAAATCTCATAAATCTTGTTTTCCTTTCTTTCTTTGTCATGCTTAGTGGTTCAACATCATTTTAAGATTAAGGATAATGTGTTTTAGTTGTAGTCAGCAACGAACATAGTCAATTAAATAAGTATCAATGTATGGTTATGGACGTAGAATCAAATAAGACTTTCTTTGCTATTCAATTCCATTATCAACGTTTTGTTTTTGATGCTTTTTCATCCCACCCGAATTCCAATGTTTTGTACATGTATCAATGATCCAATTGCTCATGAATTATCATTCCGGAAAAATCCAATTTTCAGCCAAAACCCTTGCAGCAAGATGTCAAGCGTCGCTTGCGAATGCCCTACCGAGGATATTGCTTGTTCAAAAATGAAAGCGATCCTACTCCAGTGAGTACGGGTCGTAGGCTCATGATCAAGCATTGGAGACAACGCGTGTTCCAGGTGGGTAGACTTTCCCGCCAATCACGACTGATCCCAAAGAAGGCATCCCTGAGCCCATCTGCGATCCGCGCATCATGGTAGATCCCCCTCCAAGTCGTGGAGTTGTCAGCATCTGATGTTATTTTTTTTTTGATTTTACTATGTTAGTTTTGATACGTACTAGACGAAGTGTACTATGTGGTGTATCGATACGTACTAGAAGAAGTGTACTAGTATGTGGTGTATCTCCTTCGCCTTCAAGAATCATCTTGTTGAGTGAGCTCCACTGGCACTGCTCGCTAGTACTCCTAGCACAACTAAATTCAATCGCGTAGTTAGTTCTAAGACCTACATGATAGGAAAACAAAAAAGCACAACATCAATGGTGAGAACAAATTGCCCGACTATCTTTCATCAGATGAAAATCAGACTTCTTCCATCTCACAATCAAGAAACTAGTTATGAATGTACTGTTGGCCCGCCTGGGGCCGCACTGCTAGCGCGAAAGACTGGAGCCGGAGAGTTGCCGTAGATTGAGCCACTGGATCGGTCGAGTGGGGACGCTGCTGCATTACTCCTGGCAGCCTCGTCGGCAGGAGAGGGCTGTGCCGCTCGCACCGCCTGAGTTGTTGAGAGATCCACAGCCAAGCGCTCAACCTGATCCTTCACCCGATCATTCTGCTCTTTGGAATGCACCTGGCGTGATTTTTTTTTTACAGGGTAGAGCTAACGACCGCACCACAGGCCATCAAAAAGTCCTCGTGCTGAAATACCGATTCTTGCATGGCGAGCATCAATTAATATAGGAAGAAGTTGAAGTAGCACGAGCACATCAACAATGATTTTCATACATTATGCTAAGTAACGACTTTTCTATTTCTTAGTCAGTACCAATTCCACCGCGATCTTTTTCAGGCACTCGACCCGCTCACACATTTCTTGGTTCAGAAGGGCCTCGCACCGCTCAATTCGCGGGTACACCACGTCCTCGATCATCTGGCGGTGATTTTCCGTCACTTCTCCCGCAGCTCTCTTTAGAGGTTGCAGAATTACATTTACATTCCTCAGAAGATCATCCTTAGCCTTTTCCCGACTAGGAAATAAGAGGTGGTCAAGGATTTGACGACTGGAGGCAGGGTTGTGAGTGTAGTTTTGTTTAAAAGTTTAGTCGTCAAGAGAAAATGGTAGTGAAGGATGTTGTATAATTAAATTACACGAAACTACCCTTAATCTCTGGTACTCCGTGTTGGCGATGTTGCACTGGGAATACAAATAGTCGCACTTGTTCACCCCACGCAGGAATTCCTCCAAGGACTTGGCCAGCTTCTCTTCGACGTCCTTGACACGCGAGACGGCGTCTTCGTACTCCTGCTTTCGCTCGAGGAATTTTGCGTGGGTCTCCATATCCAGGCAGCCAACCTTATCCGCCAGATCCTGGACGACGGCCTTGGTGCACAGCTTGCTCCAAATCTCGTTCTTTTCACTCCGGTCATCCCTCGTCTGCTCCTCAGCCTTCACCTCGTTGCGATCTGTGTTCTTGATAATTCAAGGTGATCCTAGTATAAATCTTTGGAGAATCTACTGTGTTCTTGTTGAGAAGATGATCCTAAATCTAAATTTTCAAGTTGACCACAGGGCTCCTCATATGATTCCGATATCTATCTTCCCCTAGCAGACTAGTACTATAAATCCTAATCTGATAAATAGTACCAAATCTTAGATCTGCATCGTTGCGATTTCGGTTGATGAGTTCGTTTTGGCGATGCAACTCTTGAACATTCTGGTTGTAGGCTTGTGTGAGTGCCCGACTCTCCTGTCGCAATTCCTTGCATTCTTGGTACAATCGAGGCAGGTTACCGCGCAGATCAGTTGCGACCTGGTCGTTTTAAGTATTAATCAAAATCAACATAATCATGTGGGACATGAGCAGATCTTGTTCACAAAAATGTTGTATCGATCAATTTAAATATTGATATGTTGTAGTTGTAGTATCGATCACAAAAATGTATGATGTTGTACTTAGAAGTATCGATCAATTATTCAATATCATCATATTCTAGTTCTCGTTGTACAGTTGTACCTCATGAATTTGTCCTGCAATGCGAGCCATGCCTTCTTGAAGGGAGGTCATGTCGTCGCGGATCATGCGTTCGCTTTCGACTCGCTGGCGCATCTCCCTTTCCAATAGGTTGTGCAAAGTGATGTACTGCCTGTCGTACAAAGGCGTCAGCTGTCCCGCTTGCGGCTGTGCCCCAGGTGTTTTAGAGTGAGGACTGGAAGAACCATTCATTGTTCTTGTTACGGAGAAGCTTGAGCTATACTTATTAAGTATGCTTCTAGTACTACGTGAGTTTTTACATAATATCTTGATGCTAGTATTATTAAATACCAACTTTGGAAAAGCAGAACATAGCGGTGAGGACCTCTGTTCGAGGTTACGTGCTAGCCTTTGTTAGAGGTTACATGTACATCCCTGGCTTTTCTACGAGGCAAAAAGCCAAGGTTGGTTTAGTACTGGGGAATGCAATTCGGAATAAACCCTTAACTGTAGTCGACGAAAAACGCGGCGACGATCCGCCCATGCTCGTCATCGTCATTGGCTCTGCTGGTGCACCACCTGTCATCATGTTGGCGCTAGAGGCACGAGGGGTGGTCGATCCACCAGAAAATAAGGAAGCCGAGAGACGTGGCGGAGCAGATAGCTGAAAGGGATTTCCGCCGGAAGGGGCAGCACCAGCTTCAACTGACATTTTTCCAGATCTGAGATCTAGGTACTAGACGAAGAATTCCTTATTGATGACGCTGTATCGAGGACGTAGGGAACGACGACGAGCACGACGAGATTTTCTTAATACGTGTTTCCTTAACGACTAGTATTAATGTTGATATCTTTATGTCTATATCTTTATTATGTGTATGTACTTACTCCTCTGAAAATTCTGAATCTTTCATAACTACCAGAAGAACAAGCGTGCTTCTTCTGTCGTAGGAAATAATGTCAATTTGAAGTTTGAAGGTTGAAGGAAAAATGAACAGCACAAGCTCTGCATCATGGGTTTAATAGTGCAAGACAGAAGCTTTGGTGGAGCAAAGAGAACATCAGTGCTTGGAATGATATAATCTACATCTAGACGAGGTAACAAACCTAGTGCAAGAAATAAATTCAAAAAACAAGAAAGATCTTGATCGTGCAAACTTCGCAATTCACTCATGAGAAGACAGACTCCAGTTCTACAGAGCTCTACGCAACTAGAGGTAGAATTACTCTCATAAACAGAAAAGGACAAGTGACAGAGTACGGTACGCAATTACTCTCATAAACAGAAAAGGAGTGACAGACACAGCGGATGTTGTACGCAATGATGAAAAGCTCTCAACACAGAAAATAAGCAGTGACAGACGAGAAGTAAGTTGGTGCCTGAATCTCTGGCACTGGCTCATCTTCAACTTCAGGGTAGATAAGCAGGCGAGAGGGTCCACCTGCTTTTTCCTCATCCACTGTGGAAAAAGCTCGTCTGGCTTTTCAAATTCAACTCACAGTACCCTAAAAAATATAGTAGTTCAAATAATGGCGCTGTCGTTCGATAGTGTAGATCTCTCAATAATAAGATGAGCCTAGGACTTTCTAAGATCAGTATTTCGGAGGAGGTAGAATGTAGCAGGACATCACGCAAGTCTCAGAGATAGCAGGCAGTAGATCTCTCAAAAATAATAAACACGGTAAAGTCTTCACGTGCTTCCTAAGTCGCGCTTGAAGTCGAGGCAAGCTCTTGACAAGTCCGTCAGGTCGTGGACTAAAAATATTTGTGTTCGTTGAGAAGGTATTATTTGCATCGTCATCGTCTCTCTGCATTCACCACAGCAACACGAGTCTTGTTTGTAGTAGTTTTAACCAGCGGCGAACTTGGTTCTTTATGAGAGTTCGACGAACTTGGTTCTTCGGTTACAGCACGGCTATATTACACCGTTGGACGCCGACATTTTACCTATACTAGAAGTTCCGCCAACTTACCCTAGTTTCGCCAGATTGAGCTTGCTTATTCCTTGTCGGTTACGGTTTGACGCTGTTGCAGCTGGTCTCTCCGAGGATATTATGATCGGAGATCCGCTTCCACCATTCACGGCAGCTGAAGAAGTAGATCCCCTCTGTGCGTCCAGAAGATCAGCTGATCCAGTTACCTTATTTTGCTTTTTCCGAGTCATGACCGTCTTGTAGACAGCAGCGGCCAGCTCCTCTGCACATCCCCAGCAGAGGTTAGAGGCTGAAAAGGATAGTACAACTCTGTTGCAACTAGATGTGACGAGTCGTGTACAACACTGCTGCATCTAGATGTGACGAATCGTGTACAACACTGCTGCATCTAGATGTGACGAGCCGTGCGCTGGTACAAGAACCTAGTAAGGATATACTTATATTAATATACAACTAGTACAAAAGTACAAAAGAGACCGATACGAACGAGTTCTACTTGAAAAATTGATTCAGATACAGATTCAACAAGATGAGAGATATGTATGGATTGAGAGATGACTAGTCTATCACCATCCCGTGAGAAATATTGATTTCCAAATCAATCAATTCATCCTATTCTTGTGCAACTTCTAACCCTTCAGTCTTAAACATGGTCCACCCCGCTCCGCCATGTCCGTAGTTATCAGCCCAAACGGTGTCCAGTCGCGCACACATAAAATCGTCCACATCGCATTTTACGCCTGCCTCTCGGACGGGTCGCAATCCGATCTTGTGGAATAAAGGCTGTATTGTTGAAGGAAAGAATTTTGGACTGTAATACAACTGAGTGTGAATTTGATTTTGAATCATGGGACATATCATCTGATTCTGTGAGGACCACACCCACAAGTAAATCTTCATGCATCTGAATGAATGTGTTGATGTACAGTAGAGAAACTTACAGTAGACAAACTATCCAGATCTTCATGTTGATGAGTTGTCAGTTACAACAATCTATTTGTACTTCAGACTTTTCCTTGGGCATTTTTTCGTCCAGGCCCCGGCCGCCAAGCGCTTCGGGTAGAAAGTTTTCTGCTACTTGCGCGAGTCGCACTTGCTCGGATTCAGCCAGCGAGAGAACTGCAGCACCTGTGTTCTTTTTCCCCTTCAATTTCTTCATGATTCCGAGACCCAATTTCTTATAAAAAAACGGCTCAATCTTTGCGTCCTCGTCAGGGGAGCGTCCTTTCTGCACACAAGAGCCTCCGCACACGACGAAATCTCCCCTAGGAATGACGTAGCCCGGAAAGAGTTCCGTCAACATGTGCTTTCTGGCTACCATCCCGTCGTGCGCCGAGATCTTCACACAGGCATACGGCGGAAATCGGCGCCGCCCCTCAACTTTCACGCCGTGCGGCCGCGGGTACAAGGAGATGCCGCCATAAGAAGGCACAACTTCGGCTTTCAAAGCGTCGACCCGGTCCTCATCGTCTCCGACCATGTCATCATACGTCATATTAGAAAGACTCTAGTACGGAGGTATAATTCTTAGACCTAAGATCGAAATGATAACGAAGCAATTTCAACTCAGTCTGCTAGCCCTGTATTCCCTAGTATAGGGCATACTTAGTTTACAGGTCCGCGCGAAAGTCGGTGCGCCAACCGGATGCCACACTCAAGTATGTATTGTATGATAACGAAGCAATCGCTATGTATTGTATCTATCCGTGGTATCGAGCGCCTTAATCATGGAAGGTGGTAGGAGCACTCGTGGTCCGCTTCGCGGTTGGCCGCTTTCACTTTCCTTCGCGATGCGTCGCATCTGATCGTCCAGCATCCGCTGCCACCGCTGCGACGCGTTTTCTTTGCGCACGACTGGCTCTTTCCTACTGCATATAGGGTCTACATCCTCGGCAAGAATTAGAGATTATATAAGTAGCAATAATGGATGATTATTGAGATGATTATTGAGATGGTACATTCTGGAGATGAGGGCCTTTTCTCCTATGAATGGATAAAATCGCTTTCAGGATAATTAATATCTCTCAAGATGGACGATTACGGGAAGCCTTAAGTCAAGGAGCTCTTTCACTTCTGCTCCGAAAAGGCCCAAGCAATTCACCACACAATCAAAATGGTGTGCGCGTTTCGTCGACGAAGCGCCATTTTTGATGTTTAAGTCCACTTTGTCATCAACATCGTCGTCGACGCCAGGTATTCGTTCGAGAAGAGAGCCGCTTCCCGCGCCGTAGCCCTCTTTTTGCGAGCCACGCTGATATTTCTGCCGCTCCTTCAACACTCGTGGGCCTTTTTCAAGGACTTCCAGCACTTCGTTTGCGTTCTGGAGTTTGCAGTCATGGAAGATTTTCACTTGCAACTTCTTCAGAATCTTCTCTAGGTTGTACAGGTACAAGGGCGTGTCTACCACTACGGACACGAAGAAATCAGCGTTGAAGAAGCCCGTCGGAAGCTCAGGGCAGAACTGTTCGTGCGCAGCTACTAGGTCGTGCAGGTTGCCTCGTCCCTCGTTCTGCAAGAAGGCGCTCCTCTCCTCAGGGCTCATTCCTTTCATCTTTTCTTTTCGTGCGCCAGGCCGTTTTTCCTTCACAGCCTTAGCCTGCGCAAACGCGTCACTGACCAGCTTGAGCTTTTTTTTGTCCTGCCGTGACAATGGCAGCACTTTGGACCCGTCCTCATTGTCACCTTGCAGTGCAGGAAGCGCACGACCGGACGGAGCTGATGCTCCTCCTGCGACACCATTTTTAGCAGTGCCCCCTTGTCCGACATCTGGAGCGACAGCACCATCTGCAGCTTCTTGCTTTGCCTGCTCTTCGGCTTTTCGCTGCTCTTCTTCTTCAACCTCGATTCGTTTGCGCTCCTCTTCCTTCTCAGCGATTCTAGCCTTCTTCTGTTCGCGCAGCTGATCCAGAGTGTACATTTTTTGTTTTTCCATTTTCGAAATCTTGCCTGCTTTGAACAGGGGCTGCTGCGCGTCCTCCTCAATACGTTCCCAACGGGCACCTTTCTTTCGAAAGTACTCGAAAAGCAGTCTCTCGGCAGCGTCACGTGTCAGGTTCTTCCGGAATTTGTGCAGGTACTGCTTTTGTTTCGTCCACATCATGGAGGAAGCCTTCTTTTGATGTGATGGCCCACCGTTCTTAGAGGAGGTAGGTTTTTAGGATAGGATAGGAGTTGGCTCACCTGTGGCAAGGTAAGCATATAGGCCTGACGCGCCATGCGTGCCCCACTTCATCTTTTGCCTTTCTCCCCCTAAGGGAGAGAGGCATAAAAAGCGGTAAGAAAAGCACCTGTAGGAACCTACCCGTAACGTTCATCTCGTCCTCTTCCGACGAGTCATGATCTTGACCATCCGCCTCGCGAGACCGCACAATCAGCGAAGGAATTTCCTCTACGCACTGTCCCAGAACGGCTCCGTCTTTCACAACCTTCGTGTTATCCAACTCGTTCATCATGATCAATTCTTAGAGGTGGAGCTTGTAGGACGTAGTAAGTCATAAGAGAGGTGGTACAACTGCGCAAGTCATAAGTCATAAGACTGGTTTTCGACGAACTGGAGTTGGTCCAGCACGTACTATCTATAATTTCTGCACTTCGATGTAATCATATCGTCCAACATGTAATCTTCAGGCTTACTCAATTAAATACTTCGCTAGTGAGAGAGAGAGAGAGAGAGGAACCCCCCCGACCTGGGGAGGGCGGCCGCCTGGCCGCGACCTGCTGGCGCTTCGGGTGCAGAGGGTTCCCCTCTGGACACCACGCAGCCAGCCCCTGACCTTGAGGCCTTGCCCAGGTGGCCCCCCTTGTGTTTATGCCTCACCCAGCCCCAGCTGCTACTCATCGGATGAGCCGACGCCGTCCAGTTATGGCCAGGGTTGTGAGCCACACGATGGACCGCGTGGGCGCGGTGCGTGCCGTCAGCTTCTCGGAGGGCTCCCCTTGGGTCTCATCTCCCCGCACTGTCTGGCCCAGCGCTAGTCATAAGCTTGGTCATAAGATTGGTTTTCGAAGAACTGGAGTTGGTCAACGTACCGTTCTAGAGTAGACAACGCCCACAGAGCGACCTTGTCCGGTGGCGTCGACCCACACTGGTATGGGTACCACCATCCTCCTGCTATCGCAGACGCACAGGAATCCATAACAGCTTGGTATTAGAAGTAGAGCAAGTGCAAGAGGAACTTCTAGAAATCAAAATCATATTATTGAGACGAGTCAGAATGTCTCTCTTTGTTTTGAATCAAGGATCGACGAGTCAAGCTCTACCTCGCGGTGGACATCAGAAGTATGAGCTTCATCTAGATCATCATCATCTAGAAGTAAAAAACGAGTGAATAATTGCCCTGAAGAGCAAATAAGGATAGAAGGAGTACGTAGATACAGCGAGTAAATCACCGCGGGAATTATACAGGAGGGCGACTGATTCTGATCATAAGAAATGCGATCCGTGTCTGCCACACTGGAGATCTTGTTAGAGCTCAAAACAATTCACTTCTTCCCTTCATTTCTTCGGAATCCCAAGGAAGAAACCACAGAGAACGATGCTTGGAAATGAATTGCATCGAGCCTTAATCTTGGACGTGTAAATATCTGGCTGCTGCGTAGCCATGGTGACTTCAAAGCCCTGTTTTGCCAACTCAAAAGCGGTCGTGAGACCCATCACACCGTTACCCAACACCAGAGCCTTCGGACGCACCTCGCCTGCGCCTCCAGCGCTCATCCCAGGTGAGCCACGAGAAGGAGAAAATCCTCCTGGTGAGGCAGATAAAGACGCAGACAACATAATATATAATCGATATTCTTATTCAAAATAAATTATTATCATTATTTTTCACTCCGATTCAGTTTCAGTTGTAGATATTAGAGCTCTTAGAGATGTTGAAGTTCGATCAGGTTCAGGAAGTTCTAGTTCAGTACTAGTATCAGATCGCTTATTATAGTAAATCAATACAACTAGTAAAGGGATTGACTGACTAATTCGTTTATTGATTGACTTACTCATTCATGTGCATCACAGACATTAAATTCAAAAAATCGATAAGTAATTCCTCTGTTTGTTCAATTACTTCTCCGCACTACTAGAACAACTAGTGCGAGCGGAGGAGGTCGGAGAAACATTCAAATCTTTGAAAAAATCTAAAAAATATAACAACTGCAACTAGTAGTTCATCTCACTGTGCCGATTTTATTGGGTAAGGAAAGGAAAATAGAAACGACGTACGCACTTCTTACAGTCTCAGTCAGTATCTGGCTATATAAGATATCTGGCTGTACAAGACGAGCCTCAAGAAGAATAGGTCACATATTCATGGAGAGCGTCAATTTCTAATCCGCAGGACACTAGCACTTGCATCTTCCACAGGGTTTTGGGCACCAAAAAGACTAAGAGAAAGGCAAAAACTAACAAAGGGTGGAAATGAAATGACGTCGAGCTACGAACTATATACCAAGGAGGACACACAAGAAAGCGTCATGGTATACGTATATGACAACATGACTACCTGGTACTTAGTTCCCTCAAAACATGGAGATGAAGAATAACAAGCACATTTTGAGGACAAGTAAAAATTTCCTAAGTCCACATCTGTCCTCTCTCACATGCGTAACGTGTCGTCCAGGTTTTACTCCATGCAACACACAGATATAAGGATAATACTGATGGACGCGCACAGACGGCAAGTAAGTACCAATGAGCTTCTAGCAGCAGCACGCAACTCCTTCGGTAAAAAGAGGCTATCGATCGGGACAGACCGCAAATGTTATTGCTCGCACATGGACACGATTGGCACTTATGAATGTAGCTCAACTCTCAACAGCAGACAAGTCGCGACAGAGAGGCTGGTCCGACAGATTCACTGGCGCAATGTGGATTTCTCTCACGAGGCATTCATTTACCTAGCACGAGGTACTGTCTCAAAACTTAATTAGGATGCAAAGGAAAGATAGTTTTCTAAAATGACATCAAAAGGAAACAAGTTGATGGAGACTTGTCTACTTTGTGTTTTCAACTTCCTTTCTGGCGACCACGAGCTCTCACTACAACTGCTGCGTTTTCTCATGCGTGCTGTAGTCCCTGTTGTCATCGTTCACAAAGATGGCCGTATGAGTCTAAGTCTTTTCCATTCCATGAAGCCTAACACTGGCGAGCATACCAAACCCTAGACGAGCTTGCCTACTATGTCATGTGTGTGCCCCTGATTGATATCGTCTTGCTTGACAACACTAGGTTTTTTTTTCTTGCGTTAGGACTATAGGCCGCCGCCCTTTCAAACAATCAAGCACCATATTCAACTATTGTCATCCAAATTACATACTGGGGGCGCAGAAGCCCGCACATTCGGCCACAAGTCTACGCATATCGGAGGAGCCGCACATTCGACCCCTGTAGGGTGTCAGTCATTCATCTTCAGGGAAACAACACACGATGATCAGGATGCTGTCACATGGATGCGCTACAACTAGATGCACATGTAAGAATGAACGTGAATCACAATTAGTTACCATGAAAAAGTAGCTGTAGTGGCAAAGAAATTTTATCTTAGCACATTTTTTGCATGCAGCTGCTCCTCATATCACTTGCTTTATAAAATTGAAATAGATTCACGACCCTCTATAGTAAGCTAAGGTTACGATTTTACGAAGATGATGAAAAACCCACGAGCAGAAGCAGGGAAATTTACTCAGCTAGAAGGACTAGTTCTGAAATGGGACAGGTTGCGACTACTTAGGCACTTTTTTGAGCGGCGCGGCTTCCTGCCGTCCTTCCGAAGCATAAGCGAATCCGCGCTAGAACGTGCGCAGCCCCTCTCCAACGTAAGTCCTGCACTTCCAACACATGCAAAGACACTCTTTCTTGCCGGGTGCGATAGCTGTAACATTCTGACTGGTCGTTGCAGTTATAATTCCTTAGGTCGGTTAATAGCGGCGCGGCTTTCGGTCGTGCTTCCGAAAGGTAGACGCGCCCCGTTCTCATTCAGCTGCGCTCCGTTTCCTTTTTGTTCGTCCTTTCTTTTTTCGCAACGGGTTTGCCCAGGACTAGTTCTACTTTTACTTCCACTTTGTTGTATTTCTTCTGCTTGATTATCGCAGTCCACTCGCTTTTTATCTCCGTCGACGCATCCGCCATTTCCTCGATTGCTTGCGGCTGTTCTAAAATACGGCCAAGGAGTAACAAGGCGACTTCTTCCGGCTGGTTGCGGAGAGCTACCAGAAAATGGTCAGGCGCTCCTGCTAGCGCTAGCCACGGAGGGTTCCAATAAGTTCCTCTATTAGTGACAGTAGTAGATGAGGACTCGGGAGCGCTGTGAAAAGAAATTAGAATAGAAGACCTTGAGAGAATCCATCTCAGTGGGCATCTTCATCTCCGTTTTCTCTTTAAAACGGGCACAAGATCACACTCCTGGGCAAGATGAATTTTTCAAGCCGTAAAATAATGTCCTTGCGTTCCAGAAGTGCGAGACACACCGCAGGCGACCTTGTCTCCAGCGCGTGCAGCACTACATTGCGGCGTTTTCTCGGTGACAATGTTTTTGATGAGCCCGGATTTTGTTGACGGTCCAATAAAGGCTATTTTTAGATGAAGAGCAATGCCACATTATGTATTATAACAAATACTCAACATTTTATTTTCCCCACAAGTGGAAGTGCATCTTTGACCTTCTAACTTTCCCTCATCACATGTGTAAGCGAGTCCAAGACGAGATGTCTTTTGTTAAGTAAGACGAACTTGTTGAACAAGCCAGAAGCATAACTCTGCAAGTTGAGAACGGTGCCGTCCACTGTCCCGTAGTCACCACGAATAATCTCGAGAAAAAGCTCGTCCGGATGGCACTTTTCAATGAGCAAGTCGGCGAAAGTAGCAACACTACGAGGATGAGCAGCGCCACAGTTGGAGAAAGACGAGCCATTCCATTCTGAATGCGCGAAGAGGGCTCGCGCTGCGTCTCCAGAGCCAGTAACAATGCTGCCCCAGGTGGTGTACCAGCATGGTTAGTGGTTGCAGATAAGTACATTCATCATCCTCAGAAAATCCATCCTGGTTAGGTTAGGTGAGGGGTCCTTCACATGGAGCCCCCCGGAATCCTAGCTCAACTCCGAGAAGATCCATTCTCGGCAATCTTATTTTTTCTACAACAAAATAAGTCATCAAGTACGTCTTTAGTGAAGAATGTAGAGATTTGGAAACCCTTAAGATGAAGCAGGAGAAGAGGGCACTTTATAATTTCCTGCTTTCCTTGTGCTGGACGAGGTGGGAAAATATACAGCCCAATCCCGCTGCTGCAGAACGCCAAAGAGTACGTCCTCGTCATTCGCCGGCGGCTGTGACCGTGACGTTTCTGAAAATAACTCGCGGACGAAGCTCGATGATGCAAACCTGCAAACACTTGCGACGCCCTCACAAGCCAACCCGAACTCATCACTGTCGGGCTTTCCGTAGAGTAATGCCGTCCAGACTGGTTCTGTCCACAGGGGAGGTATTCGCTTCTCTACGAACGACCATGGCTCTGTGAGGACCACAGCGGGGGCGCCCGTATATCCCTTTCGAGGGAAACAACCCCTAGCTTTGTCAGCCGTGTCCACGTGCAGCCACTTCTTATGCCCCCCTTCAGTGCTGGAGTAGGCACTCGCATCATCGACTTCGTCATAAATCTTCAGACATCTCAATTGTGGAAGAAAGTAGTGTAAATCACGCAAAAGATCTTCGACTTCCTCGCTGGTGAGGACGGAGGCGACGTCTCGCGCAAGCTCCATATAGTCCCTAAACAGCATCTTTTTCAAACCTATGGATTTCGTACAAGCGCCCTTCTTTTTCAGCAACCTTCTGACAAAACAATCAGCATCATTAGTGGAGGCACCGCGTCGCATCCCCGAGAGCCATGTCCTTGGGAGCTTCTTTTTCCCCTTGAAAAAGCGCCCAGGGATGATGCTCAGGTGGATGCTCTCTTGCCTGCGCCTGCCAGTGTCTTAACATTGTTAGCACCACTGTCCCGCCGCACTACCTCATAGCCATGCCCTTTCAGCCCTAAAACGACGAGCGCACATGTCCAGGCGGAAAATTCCTCATCCCCATCGTCGCCGCCAGGCTGATGATGGAATAAACCCACCGGCAATTTTGAACTCGCTTCAGCCAATATTCGTTCTCGCAGTACGGCGATGTCACTAGGATCAAGGACCAAAAACGAAACAACAACTAGCGGTAGGGCTTTTTTGGTGTTCGCGTACTCATAAGAAAGATCCGGCTTCCCAAGCGAAAACGAGAGCATCTGAGAATCACTCTGAGCTGCACCGTTCGGCGAAAACTGCTCCACCCCTTCTTGTTCTTGTTCATCTACTTCAGAATGACAATTACTATCGTAGTCCTGCTTTTCGTGCTCATCCTCGTGCTTTTCGACAAACAGCGCAATGTGTCGCCAAGTGAGTGGGGCCCTCGTGTCCGCGTTCAAGCCATCTAGGATCGCTTTCTTAAGACCCTCCACTGAAATCTTCGCTGTCGTGGCCTCGTATTGATTTCCGGAAGAAATCGTGGCAGCTCGAGCTTGGAGAAAGGCGTCAGCATCTGCCGTTTTCGCTTGTGTTAGAGCTACCGCGACGGCATCCCTGAGAGCGTCCTCGGCTTCTTTTTCAATTGGAAAAAGAAGTAAGGATGGATGATGCTGAGGATGCTTCAGCGGTCGCCTTAATTGTGAAAGCACGGGAATGAAAGCATGCGTTGTTTCCCCACTCAACTTATTCAGAATATCGATGACCAGGTATTGGTGGTCCTCAAGATGCATGGAGTTGTAGATGTTATACATATTACTTTTAGTAGACTCGACGCCATCTGGAGTTGTATTGATGTTGTCGCGGCCGTCGTCGTCCTTCCTCACTGTCACGCTCTGCTCTTCAGAATCAAAAATATCTTGCCCTCCTTCTTCTTCGGCAGCTGCAGGCTTTATCTTCTTGTGGTCTCCCTTACTCGCGATCTCGCCAACAAGAGGGATGTCATCACGGCCTTCGTCAAGCAGATCGTAAAATGTCTCAATTTCCTCATCGTGCTCTCCTTGGACTAGAAGTCGGGTAGTGTTGTAAAAGACGGGACCTTGCTGTTCCTCGCCAGGTGAACCTGAAGAATATTGATATTCATCTGCGCGCGCATGACGAGCCTGATTTTCCTCATTAACATCCGTTATTCTTGCTGTCGCAAAATCCTCCTCACCGGCTCCCATACCGCAGCAGTCGTCGCGGCGTCGTTCTCCTCGACGACTCTCTGCGCGAAGACGTGACTGATTGCTACCGCCCATCTTGGTATTTTGAACTGCAACTAGTTCATCTCGCTGTGCCAATTTTATTGGGTAAGGAAAGGACAATAAAAACGACGTACGCAGTTCTTACAGTCTCAGTCAGTATCTGGCTATATAAGATATCTGGCTGTACAAGACGAGCCTCAAGAAGAATAGGTCACATATTCATGGAGAGCGTCAATTTCTAATCCGCAGGACACTAGCACTTGCATCTTCCACAGGGTTTTGGGCACCAAAAAGACTAAGAGAAAGGCAAAAACTAACAAAGGGTGGAAATGAAATGACGTCGAGCTACGAACTATATACCAAGGAGGACACACAAGAAAGCGTCATGGTATACGTATATGACAACATGACTACCTGGTACTTAGTTCCCTCAAAACATGGAGATGAAGAATAACAAGCACATTTTGAGGACAAGTAAAAATTTCCTAAGTCCACATCTGTCCTCTCTCACATGCGTAACGTGTCGTCCAGGTTTTACTCCATGCAACACACAGATATAAGGATAATACTGATGGACGCGCACAGACGGCAAGTAAGTACCAATGAGCTTCTAGCAGCAGCACGCAACTCCTTCGGTAAAAAGAGGCTATCGATCGGGACAGACCGCAAATGTTATTGCTCGCACATGGACACGATTGGCACTTATGAATGTAGCTCAACTCTCAACAGCAGACAAGTCGCGACAGAGAGGCTGGCCCGGCAGCTTCATTGGCGCAATGTGGATTTCTCTCACGAGGCACTCATTTGCCTAGCACGAGGTACTGTCTCAAAACTTAATTAGGACGCAAAGGAAAGATAGTTTTCTAAAATGACATCAAAAGGAAACAAGTTGATGGAGACTTGTCTACTTTGCGTTTTCAACTTCCTTTCTGGCGACCACGAGCTCTCACTACAACTGCTGCGTTTTCTCATGCGTGCTGTAGTCCCTGTTGTCATCGTTCACAAAGATGGCCGTATTAATCTAAGTTTTTTCCACTAAATGAAGCCTAACACTGGCGAGAATATTACCAACCCCTGTAGGGTTTCAGTCATTCATCTTCATGCACCAGACACATGATGATCAGGATAGATGATCAGGATACTGTCGTGACATGGATGCTGCGCTACAACTAGGTATAAGAACGAACGTGAATCACAATTAGCTCGCGTGAAAAAGCTAAAGCAAGTGATATGAGGAGCAGCTGCATGCAAGTACTAGCAAAGAAATTTTACTTTAGCACATTCTTTGCATCCATCTGCTCCTCGTCATATCACCTGCTCCATAAAATTGAAATAGATTCACCCCCTATAGTAAGCTAAGGTTACGATTTTACGTGGAAGATGATGAAAAACACACGAGCAGAAGCAGCGAAATTTACTCAGCTAAAAGGACTACTTCTGATTCTGAAATGGGACAGGTTGCGACTACTTAGGCACTTTTTTGAGCGGCGCGGCTTCCTGCCGTCCTTCCGAAGCATAAGCGAATCCGCGCTAGAACGTGTGCAGCCCCTCTCCAACGTAAGTCCTGCACTTCCAACACATGCAAAGACACCCTTTGCCGGGTGCGATAGCTGTAACATTCTGACTGGTCGTTGCAGTTATAATTACTTAGGTCGCTTAATCGCGGCGCGGCTTTCAGTCGTGCTTCCGAAAGATAAACGCGCTTCGTTCTCATTCAGCTGCGCTCCGTTTCCTTTTATTTTGTTCGTCCGTTCTCTTTTCGCAACGGCTTTGCCCAGGACTAGTTCTACTTTTACTTTCACTTTGCTGTACTTCTTCTGCTTGATTATCGCAGTCCACTCGCTTTTTATCTCCGTCGACGCATCTCCCATTTCCTCGATTGCTTGCGGCTGTTCTAAAATACGGTCAAGGAGTAACAAAGCGACTTCTTCCGGCTGGTTGCGGAGAGCTAGCTGAAAATGGTCACGCGCTCCTGCTTGCCACGGAGGGTTCCAAGAAGTTCCTCTATTACTGACAGTAGTAGATGACTCGGGAGCGCTGTGAAAAGAAATTAGAATAGAAGACCTTGAGAGAATCCATCTCAGCGGGCATCTTCATCTCCGTTTTCTCTATAAAACGGGCACAAGATCACACTCCTGGGCAAGATGGATTTTTCAAGCCGTAAAATAATGTCCTTGCGTTCGAGAAGCGCGAGACACACCGCAGGCGACCTTGTCTCCAGCGCGTGCAGCACTACACTGCGGCTTTTTCTCTGTAGCAATGTTTTTGTTGAGCCCGGATTTTGTTGATAATCCCAGAAAGTATATTTTTAGATGAAGAGCAACGCCACATTCATTATGTATTAATAAATGTTAATACAAAAACAAAATGAACAATAAACAACCAATTTCCAAAACGCTCAAAAAAAAACACACCGCCACACACATCCGCCGACGGTTTAGATCCCGACGGTTTGGATCCCGATGGTTTAGATCCCGACGGTTTAGATCCCGACGGTTTAGATCCCGATGGTTTAGATCCCGACGGTTTAGATCCCGATGGTTTAGATCCCGACGGTTTAGATCCCGACGGTTTAGATCCCGATGGTTTAGATCCCGATGGTTTAGATCCCGATGGTTTAGATCCCGATGGTTTAGATCCCGACGGTTTAGATCCAGATGGTTTAGATCCAGATGGTTTGGATCCCGATGGTTTAGATCCCGATGGTTTGGATCCCGATGGTTTAGATCCCGACGGCTTAGATCCCGATGGTTATCCCATCCCAGCCAGGTGCCTAATTTCACTCAAAATGGTTTAAAGTCAAAAATTTAGCACTTTGGCCAAAATTTAAAAACAAACGCCGAAAAAAAAGGGAGGCAGTGCGCGCGGTTGGTTTCTAATTTCGCTCCAAATGGTTTAAAATCAAAAACTTAGCACTTTGGCCAAAATTTAAAAACTAACAAACGCCGAAAAAAAGGGAAGCGGTGCCATCCCATCCCAGCCAGGTGCCTAACTTCACTCAAAATGGTTTAAAGTCAAAAGCTTAGCACTTTGGCCAAAATTAAAAAACAAACGCCGAGAAAAAAGGGAGGCAGTGCGCGCGGCTGGTTTCTAACGTTATCCCATCCCAGCCAGGTGCCTAATTTCACTCCAAATGGCTTAAAATCAAAAATTTAGCACTTTGGCCAAAATTAAAAAACAAACGCTGAAAAAATAAAAGGGAGGCAGTGCGCGCGGTTGGTTTCTAATATCGCTCCAAATGGTTTAAAGTCAAAAACTTAGCACTTTGGCCAAAATTTAAAAACTAACAAACACCGAAAAAAGGGGAAGCCGTGCTACCCCATCCCAGCCAGGTGCCTAACTTCACTCAAAATGATTTAAAGTCAAAAACTTAGCACTTTGGCCAAAATTAAAAAACAAACGCCGAGAAAAAAGGGAGGCAGTGCGCGCGGTTGGTTTCTAATTTCCCTCCAAATGGTTTAAAGTCAAAAGCTTAGCACTTTGGCCAAAATTTAAAAACTAACAAACGCCGAAAAAAGGGGAAACCGTGCGCGCGATGGGTTTCCAATTTCGCCCAAATTGTAATTGATCAAAGTCAAAAAGCTGGCGCCTTGGCTAAAATTTGTAGACCTTCCAGCCCAGATAGAGAAGCGCCCGCGCTGGATCAGAAAGAGAGGGACACACCGCGCCCGGGTCGGTCAGGTTTCTAATCAATTTCACCCGAATGGCTTAAAGTCAAAAGCTTAGCAACTTGGCCAAAATTGAAGGCCAAGCGCGGAAAGAAAGGTAGGCCGTGTCTTGCCCTCTCCATCGGTCTCGACATTTCTCGGACATTAATAGAAAGAGAGGAGGAGAGCAGCAGCCTCGGCTACTTTTCTCGGACATTAATAGAAGAACAGAAGGAGGGCAGTAGCCTCGGCTACTTTTCTCGGACATTAATAGAAGAGGACCAGGGCAACCACCACCCATCCCATCGGCCTCGGCTTTTCTCAGACATTAATAGAAGAACAAGAGGGCGCCCGCCGTCCTGTCCAGCATCGGTCTCGGCTCTTCTCGGACATTAATAGAAGAAGAGGAGAGCAGCCGCCTCGGCTACTTTTCTCGGACATTAATAGAAAGAGGGGAGGGCGCCCGCCGTCCCGTCCATCGGTCTCGGCTCTTCTCGGACATTAATAGAAGAACAAGAGGGCAGC